TTCAACTGCTAAAAGCAGCACCCCAGCAAAGTTATACATTTACATTGAAGAATAAATGTTATAATGATTTAATCATAGTTAAAATTCCACCTTAAATTACAATTTTATTTAAGGGGTTAAACTTGTTGTCTCTGTGCAGCAATGCACTGTTCGTATTGTTGAAGACATTGGGATCTTTAATCCTATTCAAAGGATGTATGTGTGGGTTTTATGGGGGGAAATGCAAAACAAAATATTCCATAATTATAAGCCATTAAGGCTTTGCACTTTTTGGAGGGACATGCTGTATTTAGAAGCAATTCATTTTATGTGGTTGTTTCTACACAAAAGAATGAAAATGGCTTTGATGGGACTTATTAATAAAACAAGCTGATTCAATTTACGTCAACACACACTAAAGTTAAAGTGTAGCCCTTAGCATGCCCTTAAGCAAGCAAAATGAATTAGGGTGGGTTGATGGCGGCGGAGAAAGCTTCTAAAAATGAGACAGCTGGTCTTGGCTGACAGTTAAGAGAAGATGCGTTGTGCTGGGCCTGCAGATGACTTGAAGCATGATTTGCTTGTAGCACCAAGGGAGCCAACTGTCATTTGATCTCTCAGAGGGAAAAAGTCGAATTCTGCCTTCTGGTACAGTACATACTGAGGAGCTATTTGAGCAGAACATTTTTGGCAACAACAAACAGTTCTAGTGCTATCTTCTTTAGTCTTTGCACTAAGCTGTGTTTAATACAGCCACACAATACAGTAAGCTGCATCTTACATAAAGTTCTCCCTTCACAATTCAGAAGACAGCAAGTACAAATTAGATGGCTAATAGTAACCAAGATTGGAGTGACAGGGAGATCTTGTACATCAATAGTTCTTAAACTTTGGCCTACAAGATGTTTGGGATTTCAAATTTAATGTTGATGTCATGTTAACTGGGACTTGTAGAGGTTGGAGTAGAAACCATTTGGAGAACAAAGACTATGTAGGTAGAGCAGTAGTTGGTAGCTTCAGAATCAGTGAGACAGTGATTAAAACTCTGGGGTTTAAACTAAACTTTGCATGAGCTGTTCATGATGCTGAACTGTATTCCCAAAACATATCCTAACAATTTGGGTAGTTTTTTTTTATATCTCAGACTAATATTGATAGTGGTGTTACCATGCCACCATCCATAGTGTAGGGTGCACCTACCCGGGAGAAATCCAAATAAAAGGATGAAGGCTGCTTTAACAAGAAAATTTTGAAGCACACACAGCCATTTTTGTTTTCCCTACTCTTAAAACATCATACCCACCATTTTCAAATATGAATGCCAAGACAAAACCCTTTGATGTTTTTCTAGCATATTATTGAACAAAAAATGTTCCATAACCTGCACCATGTGTCATATCAACATTATCTGTAAGTTCAATAATGAAGATAAAATGCGCAAAAGCAGTCCAAAGCTTAAATGACCCACATTCTAAAGATATGTCTTGCTGCACATAAAAATGCTACTCCAGAAAATGCTATATTTCCCCACCTCCATAAGAAGTCAGTTACTCCATGTGGCTCAAAACAAGATTTAAGCAATTATCATGCAGTGGATGTACTGAAGCTATTGCAGACCACATGCTAGTCTCTGCTATTCTTTGTAGTGTTTTTTGAGTATTTTACAGAAAACCAGGTTTTGCAGAATCCTGGACCAGGTTCAGGGAAACCAGGACTGAAATCACCTTTCATATAACTAAGGAGAAGCCACTGTCAGCCTAACAGAGTTGTTATAAGGATTTAGGTGTGGAGAGAGGGAGCTCAAGTTCACCTAAAATCCTGAACTCCTTACAGCAGTGGTTCTTAATCCCCAGATGTTTTGGCCTTCAACTCCCAGAAATCCTAACAGCTGGTAAACTGGCTGGGATTTCTGGGAGTTGTAGGTCAAAACACCTGGAGAGCCGCAGGTTGAGAACCACTGCCTTAGTGAAAGGGCATAAAATCAATATTTTAAAACTGAATTTCTCCCATGGAGTTCATTGCATTGACGACTTCCCTAAATCAGATTGGGGGTAGAATCAAATTACTGTTTTTAAACCTATGTTCCTTTACTATGTAAAAACGCAGGTGGAAACACTGGCTTAGGGGAACTTGGAAGTATTGATTTTGTAGAGTACAGCTCCCAGAATTCTACATGGAGGCCAATGGCCATCAACTTTTCAAAGCTCAGCTTCTTCTGCATCTTCCTGAAATACACTAATGATCTGAAGATCAAGTCTATCCACATGTAGATCAACCACTAGATGGCACTGCTACAAAACTCAGTTCACTGATGGGTTGACAACCCTGGAAATTGATTGCAAGAATAATCCTGCTTTAAAAGCAGCTTCCAGTAGAGTAATTTGCAGTTGCTCTCTGCCTATTAAGCTTATCTGCTTGAAAAAAAATGCTAATGTGCTAGTGACTAACACTCCATAACTAAAAGCACCTTCTATCTGCTCATCTCAAAGCACTTTGTCAATATAAATGTGTTAACCTTCAACACTGGCTTACAAGAAGTTAATTTTTTCATTTTTAAAGGTAAAAGCATGGGAACACATAGAGTCCTTTTGAAGACATTAGTATGCTAGGAAAATCTCTTGACAATTGCAGATTGCCTCAGGGCTTCCCTATCCATAGCTAGCAAAGTTGGTTTCAACATGACTGTCCAGGACATGATGGATATTTACTGGTTTGTCCAAGGTCAATCCCTAAAAAATGTCAAGAGCCAGGTGTAGCATTAGCATTACTAGACCTCCCATCCCATGTTTCATATCTCATATGCAGTGATAAGCGAATATGAATGTCAAGTTGCCAGAGACAGAGATTGCCTGGCCCAGTTATGTCTGCCATTCCCAAAGACTCAGATATCTCCTACAAAACCAATCCTGCAACCTGATCCATTTAACATTTAGTTAGGCAACTGTGGCCCTCCAGATGTTAGTCCACAGCTTCCATCAGCCCTAGTCAACATAACAAAGAATGACTGGAAGAACAACCTAGAAACATCTGAGGGGACATAGCTGCCCTGCCATCTTTTAATAATAGATGCTGGGACTTGAGCCTGAGGTTCTTCTGCATCAGAAGCATGTGCTTCTCCATTTAAGGTACAAAAAATCCACAGCTTGTCCCTCCTTTATTTGCAACCACCACACCACAGGTTATTATCTTCACTTGCTACAGGGATGAGGTGTGAAAATGTTCTGAAAACTGTTCTAGTAACTCTGATCCAGTAAACAAAACAAAAAATCATAAACAGCATGCCAGAATGAGCCAAGTTAAAAGTGACTTGACTAATGTCACTCAGCAGCACAGGAAGGATTCAAAAGCTATGCCTTTTAACCTTTTTACCTTTTCTCCATAACATGTTTTTTAAAAGATTTAATTTAATTTTAACAGAATGCTTGGGTTGCAAGCTGCCCTGATGCCTGCTCCTGAGAGATTTCAGTCCCCTTCATATCTTTAGGAGGACCACCACATATATTTCTGTTTCAACCTCTTTGTTGTTGTTGTTTATTTGTTCAGTCATTTCAACGCTTCATGACCTCATGGACCAGCCCACGCCAGAGCTCCCTGTCGGCTGTGGCCACCCCATTCCTTCAAAGTCAAGCCAGTCACTTCAAGGATAACATCCATTAATCTTGCCCTTGGTCGGCCCCTCTTTCTTTTTCTTCTATTTTCCCCAGCATCATTAGCCCCTCCGAGCTTTCCTGTCTTCTCATTATGTGGCCAAAGTATTTCATCTTTGCCTCTAAAACCCTTCCCTCCAGTGAGCATTATTTCCTGGACTATGAACTGGTTTGATCTTCTTGCAGTCCAAGGTACTCTCTGAATTTTCCTCCAGCACCACAGTTCAAATGCACCCATCTTCCTTTGCTCAGCCTTCCTTATGATCCAGCTCTCGCATCCATAGGTGACTACAGGGAATACCATTGCTTTAACTATGTGGATCTTCATTGCCAGTGTAATGTCTCTACTCTTTAACTATTTTATTGAGATTGGTCATTGCTCTCCTTCCACGAAGTAAATGTATTTCCTGGCTGCAGTCTGCGTCTGTAGCAATCTTTGCCCCTAGAAATATAAAGTCTGTCACTTCTTCCACATTTCTCCCTCTATTTGCCAGTTATCAATCAGTCTGGTTGCCATCATCTTGGTTTTTTATGTTTAACTGCAATCCAGCTTTTGCATTTTCTTCTTTCACCTTGGTTATAAGGCTCGTCAGCTCCTCCTCGATTTCAGCCATCAAAATTTTTTTTTGATATGTATATCTAAAGTTGTTAATGTTTCTTCCTACAATATTGACTCTAGCCTTGGATTAATCAATCTTTAGTTATTGAATTCAATCTCTTTAGTGAGGAACAATGTTACTCATTTTAACTACTTCGTTTCATTCATCCTTTTTATCTTTAGTCTTGTTCTTCTAGTGATGAGTTACTGACATTGATGTTTTGCTCTACTGTTTTGTGTGTTTGTGTATGTATTTTCTATTATAAGTCTCTCTGGAAAGCTGGTGATTGAATTTATTTGTATCCTCCCACCTTTCTCCTAAAATAAGCACTCAAGGTGGCTAATTAAAAGCACAATATAGCTAAAATCATACAAAAAATGAACATTAAAACTGGATAAAGGTTCTGATAATATTACAATGATGTAAAAGATAAAAATACTATAAAATGAGAAAATTCAGGCCAAGACAATAAAGCATCTTTAGTCCTTTAAAAAACCACTCAAAGTTTGAAAAGTACTATATAAATTTCATAAATGAAAGCAATTACTCACTATCCCCCATTTATTCTGATTGAATATTTAAACCTTTCCCCCTAGAATTCCTCATTTTCATTTCTTCAAGCCCATTTCACTGTGTTTCACAGCTATTTCTTAAGGGATCAGATTGGTTTTGCAGATCAAAGCAAGAAAAAACTGTTTATAATGGGAAACAGACTTGAGACTTGTTGAGCCTTTTCATATGAGAAGTTTGGAATACAAACAACCGAGTCTGGGAGTGGTGTTTCTCTCTTTTATTTAAAAACAGTGCTTCATTACCATTCGCAAAGGGTGAGGAAGGGCTCCTCCCTTGCTTTAGAGTTTATAAAAGCCAGCAACATGATCAATAATTTATACACATGGATAGTAATACAAAAAAAAGGAATAAAAGCTAAAATTCTAACTACTCCGACCTTCACAATTCCAGCTACTTGATAATAATAAGAGTAACCCAATGAATACTGTATGGTTTGAAAGCTACTGTACAATATGATACTTAAAAGGGGATGGGGTTGGGGGTGTTAGAGACGGCCACAATGTCCTGAAATCCAGATACTCCTTTTCCAGAGTGCACAGGTAAACAAGACCCTGGTCAACCTGGGAAATGATCCAGAGGAAGAGAGACTACAATGTATCCTATGTCCCATAGGTACCTGGCAAGGAAAGAGGTGCAGGACAGACTGCAAGACGAGGCTAAGTCTGCCTGGAGCATTTTAGGCCTCTCAGTGATCAGTTTGGAGTGTTACCTATTCATTCTGGGTAGTCTCTAAACTTACAGTCATCTCAGTACTGTCTAATCATTCTGCCTAAAAATATTTATTGGGTCAGCTTTGCCCTAGTTATTTTATTCATTCATTCGTTCAAAAAAAAATCTGGAAGGATCACTTCGTAAACCCCAGTCAAACCAAGATGGCAAAACTGCAATGCATAGCTATGCTGAATGTAGGGATATATTCCTTGACAGTTCTTCCTCAAAAAGCAGTAAAGGCCTTTTAGTGTTCCATCCAAAAGGGAAAAACCCCAATTTTCCTTTTTTTAAAAAAGTAACCGTTAACTAAGTGACATGATGCAGACTCCTCGCCAAATGAATACTCCAGTGGACGGCTTTAGGAAAATAAAGTTGGCAGGAAAGATTGCAACTGCTAGAGTGCAGGATTTTTTAAAAAAGAAAGAAAACTTCAGTTTCCAGTCATTGTCAACTGGCAGTGTTTTGAATCAACTTGTCTTAAACGACTCCCTAATAATCTCCAACTGGCGGTGGCCTGGAAATATGGACAAAATTTACTGCAGAAGGATTGCCAACATTTCTGTAGTGTCTGGTTATTTATGGCAGCCAGCTCTGAATGTGGATACCTTTCTGCAGTTTTCTTCCATTCCCCTATGTAGCAGTGATGTTCTCACCATCTTAAAATTAAGATGGGAAAGTCGGGGGAGGTATATGGGGTGGGGGAGGGGAGAACACTAGCAAAACACACTAGAAAGACCATTTTCACTCTGACTACGAGAAAATAGTTTGCCTCAATTACTGGAGGTTTCGTTTTATTACACTGTAAATAAAAGCAATTTCCAAACAGGACCAGATTAGGGTAAAGCAGGGTGTAGGGAGGGGGCTGGACTCTTCAGACAATAACTTCATGAAAATAGTGTTTTATCCAACAAAGAATCAAGTATACTGGTGTATACTGCAAACCTATTTGACATTCTCAAAAGCATGACAAAAATAAAAACACACAAAACCTTTACACCAGTTCTCTGTCTACTAGGATTTTGATTCCCCCCTCCCCATTTTAAAACCAGTGCAAACAGGCAACACGTCCTTACACAAGCCTCTCCCCCCACAGTGCTCAGGATCCCTCACATGTTGGAGTTGGTAAGCAGCATTATATGTATTCCCCTAGCTGCTTGCAAACTCTTTTTGTTTAGGTGTGGGACACAATGAAAAAAGATGTCACCCAAATTTGGTTCCCATTCTTGATATCTAAGAGCCCCTCACACTGACTAGACATGGGACAGGGGCTGTAGGAAAATACACAAAGCCTTAGCTTTGAATCCATTCTATTTAGATGTCTAGGATATTTGTGAAACCATCAGGTAAATGGCTAAAGAGCTGCTATATTACAAAATCAGTTTGTTGGACATTTTAAGAGTTATGGAGGCATGAATGTACTGTTAACAATAGTGTTCTTTACTACAGATCTCACTGTGTTTCACAAAAGAGGGGCTACTTTGCCTTTTCATCTTACAGATACAAAAATAGGCAAGGGAAGTGGCTTGTCTAATGTTAGCCTGCAGGTGACTTCAGTGCAGGTGACCTTAGTACCGATACAACTTAAATGGAGCAGATGATTCTCAAACTAGGAAATATTTCTAACAGGATGGGATATTGATGCCACTCAGTCTTTTATGACCTGCATTGAGTGGTACTCAGCTTCCTTAACTGAGGAGCTGCACAGCCTGTAAAATCCATGGGTATCCAATGTATTCGGTATTTGATATGCAAGACAGCTAAGCTGACCCAATTATATTGGGAAGAGCTATGCAGTCTGCATCACTTTCTGTAACATTAACACAGAGATTTTCCTATCACACAGTTGCTAATCCATTTCAGAGATCTTTGCTGTGTCTTGTTCCTTGGGGAGGAATTAAGTCCAATTCCACCCTCAACTGCTCTGTGGTGATAACAGCCTTCTGCTAAGACCAAAACATTTAGGTAAGCTAGGAAAGCCTTGCTTCCTCATTTCCTTGATTTTGTGAAAGCCCAGGCACCCCTCATTCCCCTCTCCCCCCTTTTCAAGCTAACTAAAATATTTATATACAAAAACAACAGAAATTGTCATAATAGCAACAAACCAAACTTTGGCTTGAAAAATAAGACAACAAAAAACAGAAATAGAAGTGGCCAACAGGCTGGCAGTTTGGTGTCAACTTGTTCCAGAGAATGAACACTGTTAGAGTCTCTAGCTTAATTAAGATTTTCCGTGCCTGTCTCTCTTCAGGCTTCCTCTCCAGCATCCTCGGTGCAAGCACTAAAGAGGGTACAACAAGGAGCGGGGGCAAAGATGAGAGCCATGTGAGGCTGGATCAGTTTGTCTCCTCAATAGTCCAGCTCATTGAAGTGTTTCAGGATGTCTCTGTTCCTATATCGACATCAGTAGACTGATGATGAAATGAACTGAGCAGGCTTCAGCTACAGGTCCACCCTCTAGCTGCCCTTTCAAGGGTGAAATGTCACCCAGTACCAATTTAGGCAGGCCATGGAGCCAAAGGGAATTGTGCTTCTCTAACAGGTAGGGCTTTATTAAAGGTAAAAGCTGCAGAAAATCTGCAAGAGGTGCCAAGAAAGTTGTGAAAGCTCAGAGGGTAATGCAGGATCTCTTCTGCTAGTTCAACTTCCAAAATTAGCGGCAGATATTTGAAAGCAGTGGCTTGTTGTCAAATGCATGCTTCTATAGTAACTTACAAGGCACCCACTGCATTAAATAAAGGGCATTCCACATACATTTTTTTTTAAAAAAAATCTAAGGGAGCAAATCTCTGCGCTCCGAGTCTTCCAAACGCCCCTCTCAGCTAAAAACTTGCAATACTTCTGCAAGCTGAGCAGAATGGATGCAGATTTTTCTCTCTAGAGTGTGGTGGGAGATGATAGATAACCCCCTAAAGGTTCTGGGCTGTGTATCAAGGCAAAAGTTTCCTCTTTTTAAATTGTTTTGAAACGTGTTTGGATTTCTCCAGATGCCAAAGCTATATAAGGGTGACTTACAGAATAGTGCTGTGACACAGAAGATTGTCACCACCAATTCTGCCACTTTTTTGGGATCATGTATCAGAACACCTTTTCTGTCTTCTTCTCATGCATTTTTTCAGTAGCATTCTTGCAGCCGAGCTAATCAGCTCATGATGAAAAGAAGGTCTTGGACCTTTGAAGAGTCTAATCGTTGAGAGCTTTCTCCATCATTGTTCAATTCTAACTTCGGAATGTGTTGCAGTTCCGCCATCAGATTCCTGATTATCTCAGAGAGAACTCTCTTTGCCATGGCTTCAGGTGTGATAGTCATTGTCTCCTGTCTGCTGCTCCTCCAGAACAGAAAAAAGGGAGAGGGTGGATAGACAGGAAGACCACAGCAAGTGAAAGAAACAGAGGAGAGCCTTGGTAGAGGGGCAATAATCACTAAAGTAAAGTGTATGAAGAGAAGCAGTAAGATCAAATATTCGTTTCAAGTCTTGACCCCTAAAACCATTAAGAGACAAAGTCTTTGGGCAGCTTTGAGGAGCATTGTCTTGAAAATTGTAAAATCTTGATGCTTCTGGAACTGTCCTGAGCCCATGTGTGCCAGAAGGCAATAAAATGGGGGACATTTGGGTCTCCAACAGCATGCAGGTTCCAGCTGCAGCCAATGAGCATGGCCCTCGGGGGGAGAGGGGATCTTCCTTATGTCACTGCAGGCCTCAGGCACCAGACCCATGTGAAATATAAACGCCTGCATGTTCCTGATTTAATTCCATGATACTGTTTCCTAAGGATGCTCCTTAGCTCTATTAATCTCTTTTGTGATTGGTAGGATAAGCTACGAATATACAGACATGGAAATTCATTATGTTTACCACAGTTAAAAAAAACAACCCAAAAAAAACCAACAACCCAAAAATGCACAATCTTTGGAACAAAAGAATTAAAGGCAGAAATTTAAAGGAAAAAATACATATTCAAAGAACATAGTGAGGTATAAAAAAGTATTTCTCTTGTTTTTTCTTTTGTTTTCCTCCTCTTCTTGCTATAGAGTTCCTCTACTAGTAAATATTGCAATAGCCAGGCCTCATGAACTGGGGGGGCTGTCCCATTTGCAGGGGGGCTCATGTCACTTCAGTAAGGGGCGAATCGGCTGTAGCCTCCTCGGTATAAACTTGCCTGTAGAGGTGAACAAAGGGAAGAAAGCAACCATTAGAATACTGGCGGGGGAGGCATATGTCACTTGCAAGGTCTTCCTTCCTTCACTTCAAAACCCCAGGAGAAATTTTCCAAGTTTAATTTCAGACAAAAGAGGACAAATATTCCAATGTAAGCATAAAGAATTGTGCATCCGTGAATGTAAAGCCAACTTCAAACAGAAGTCACATTCAGGTAATAGAATGGCACTTGCAGACAGCTCATTCCTTGCAGAAAACCTGGAAATGCTTGAAACTAAAGGGGGAGGAAAGCTGGGTGCTCAGCTTAATTTCCAAATGAACCTGCTGGAAATTATGACTTACAGTCATCTCAGCTAAATAACTGGATATGAACAAGACTATAAACCAGCAACTTTGACTCAGGAATTATATTTGGCAATTAATGTCTATACAAAACATGTACATATAGAAATGCTGCTTTAAAGTCTTGACTGTTTCTGAACCTTATCTGGGAACTTTGACGAAACACCTATATTCAGACATCAACTGCCATGTGGGGATTCTGCCACTGTAGTATTGGTGGGACTGGGAGTGGATAGTGGTTTATCTTCCCATTTTTAATCATTCCTCAACATGCACAAGCCAGACTATCACCCTCTCTCTCTTATGACGAGTATATTTGATGTTTTCATTCAACAATACTCATGCAAAGGTATGTTGGTAAAGAAAAAACACCATGAAGGAGGAGAAAAGACAAAACATACTCACCACAGCGCCAACTCCATAGCTAGCAGCAGGGGCAAGGGCGTGGTAAGGGTCTGCTGTATACACCCTGCCATAACTGAGGAGGGGGGGAGGAGAAAGAAAAGTCACTTCAAGAAAAGACTTGGAAGAGGCCACTGTCCCAAGAAGAAAGGTAAAAAGAGTCAATCACCCCATTTTTTAGATCCAACTTATTTCAGGAGGGAGTCATAAGGCTGTGTACACAGAGGTGGCAACCCCAGATTCAAATATGAGACCCCAGATTATGTTAAATAGAAACATTATTTCAAAGAATGCCCCCTTCCTCGGAAAGTAAGTTTTCAGTGGTGTTGAAATGTACCATTTGTGCCATAAAATATTCACCATAAGAGACTAGTGGTCTTAGATTTGCAAGAAAGAAAGCAGAGACTGTGCTCAAACTCTGCTTGAAAACAAGGGGGATCCCATACCATCCAAAGCCCACAATGTTGCTAGTGTCAGGGTGCCACAGTTCTACCAAATGCTTGGTTTGAGTGGTGCTAGAATTTAAAAGATGCAGAATAGAAATGGAAGCTACATAAATCATACTTTCAAATGATTTGTTCCCTCGCCAGTTCAGACTCAACTGTGACAATGATCTGCTTTGGCATATACTACTTACAGTCAAAGGATCTGAGACCACTAAGCAACTGTAGTCATTTCCTCATGGAGAAGTGAGGGCACATCAAAAATACAATAAACTCAGTGATGGTACAATTAGTCTTCCATATTTACTAGTCTTTTGTAGATTTGACTAAAATTTACTCTCTAGGAAATCTAGGTTCTCCAGTCTGATGCCATCATAAACTGAAAGACCCAAACATTCCTAGAGAGATATTTCAGGTTTAAAAAATAGCTATTTTTTTTAATTTACGATTTTTCACTTTGGCAGGGATCCTACTCCCAGTGAATGTGAAGGGCTGACTGTATACATAGGCTTGGTCACGATGACCAAGTCACAATGACTGCAATTTGCCCTGTTCCCCACTACATGACTGAAGAAAAGAAGTCTGCTTTGAGAGGTCTGTTTTAAGAGGAAACAACTGCTGGTTTAGCTATTGAAGAAAAGAGAGAATTCTTATTCCTTCCCAGCGATCAGCTTGAAGTATTAAGTCACACCACTGCCTTTATAGGGACTCTTATCATCAGCATTGACTAGGGATAATATCTTCATCAATGCTGACCATTGAAGGAAACTATCAAGTCTATCTTCTCAGTTACCACCATGTCTAAAGCACACTAGAAAAAGGCTTACTTTCTACCATACACAAGAGCTCAGAGAAGGGTTATAGTGTGTTGCTACCTAAGTTTGCACAATGACCTCCAGTGACATGCATAGGTATCAATCAAGGAAGTACTTGTATGGACTCCTTTATAGCATGTAAATGCAGAGCATTTAAAATTTAAAAATTGTAAAACGGCACGTACACTAACTGATGAAGAAAGGCTTGTGAAACAGAACAAGTACTTCTAAAATGTAGAAACCAATACATACTTTTGCACATGGTCAATGCCTTCCCTTGCTCTCAAAAAGTGGAATAACCTTGTCAAGGGATGAAGAACAGAGTTGGCAACTTTACTCTTGATGACTACAGATTTGGTCAGACCACTTTTAAGGAGGTACATGCTTATGGTCACAAAAGTTCTGCTAGTGACAAAATCCATTTGGAAGTGAAGCATCCAATGTGTGCACCGAGAATGTGTTTGACCCAATGGAGGGTCAAAACACAACTGTGATTTTTTGATTCCCAGACACACCACAACCTCCCCCCTCCCCACTTCTTTACATACCCATCACTGTAAGCCGCTGCAGCGGCTGCAGCAGCAGTGGCTGCTGTGGCGGTAGCAGGCTGTGCATATCTGTAGGCTGCATATCCACCCTGCAGGAAAGAAGAGAACTGACTTTATAGATACCACAATCCTCTCACAAAACTGAATTATATACACAACATACAGAGAGGAAATGTTTCAAACTGCATCAACTCTCACGTCACAATAAATCACGAAAATGTTCCTCTACCCATGTACATGGGCATTTAAAAAAAATACTCCCTGGCCCTAGCTCAAGTATCTTGGATGGTACCAGGTGGAGAAATCTTGTGACTTACAAAAAGTCTCCAACAGGCAATTCAGTCAGAATAGATAGTGCTATGGTGATCTCTATAGAAATATGAATCAACACTAAAAAAGAGAGAGAAACTTAAAAAAACAAAGATGTAATGCTTCCAACTGTCCCTGGAAAAAAACATTACCTGAGAATTTTTTTATTGGGGGGAGAAGAACACATGCTGCACAATATAATAATTATTTTAATCAAAGCAGCACTCTTGAGAAAATGACTATTCATGTGATTCCTATCCTTTAGTGCTGAAATTTGAGGAAAAAGGGGGAAAGTTCCAGTGTTTAAGTCCTCGGGTTACTGGGCTTCTCATCATTCACATTATGGGCCAGCCAGAATCAAAAGAAGCACTAGCCCAAGGGAAAATCAACCAATGCTATCATACCTAAGGGAAGTTGATGCATAATATGATCTGCATGGACAGACAAACACATGTGAAAAGCAGCCTACAGCAAAACCTTTCTAAAATTGGATGAAGTCTTCTAAGGTCTAAAATCCATCATAATTGACCCTTCTCAAACTGAGGGCAATCTTTGAGAGGGGGAAACAGGCTGTCAAGATCAAGCCATGCAGACTGTCAAATAACTAAAATCTTGTCTTCTGACGAACTTCCCCCTTTCTCCTTCTGTCTATTCAAAATAACTTGAGAAAAAATATTTCAAGTTCTCATCAGTTTGCCCACATCTTCCCCTTCCTAAAATTTTGTTGTTATTCCCTTTTGGCTTTCCCAACAGCAACCTTAAAATCTTGGCCTTTGAGACTCTCCCCTTGGTTATGCTCTGTGGTTTTGCTCCTTTCATCTACTCCCGCTCATTTAAAGGGCATCTTCTGTCTCTTCATATGAATGCTCTCCTCTTTTTTTCATTACAGCTTTCATAAAATCTTCTACAAGGTCTTCCTTGGATTACTGTACCTCACATCTTCTATGTACCTGCTGCTGTCTACTCAATGTCATTATTTAGCAGACATTGACTTTCAATTTTAATTTCAAGCACACAACCAGTTTTGATCTGCCTGTCTTAAGTAGAAGACTTCTGGAGCAGGAATTGCATTTTACAGAATCATAGTATTTCTCCTTTATCTTATAAAATAACCAACATGTTGTTGGACCCACTAAAGATAAAGAGTTATAAAGAGATAATATCATGGTCCTCTTCTAACACCTGACTGATGTTTGGTGAAGAGTGGACTTTAGGGAATAGTCTTGCTCTGCTGCTAGGCTTATTAAGTTACTGCTTTGTAAATAAAAAGTGGTGTTTACAAACACAAAAAATGCTGCAGACTACCATGCAAACATCAGCATGGCAGAAGACAGCACATTCTAACTGCAATTACAATGTATAAAGAACATATTTAAGACAGAGGATGCAAAAATAATATATGTTTTATTTATTTATTTATTTATTTATTTATTACTTGAACTTATATGCTGCCACTCCCCTAGGGCTCGGATCAGCTTACAAGAATTAGAATTAGAGGTATCTTGTGGAATGGAAAGGTTTTCACTAAACCATATTTTTCTCTTTTTAACATATTTTAGTTGTATTTTGTTTTATTTTATATCTTTAATCATCTTGTGTCACATATTGGTAGAAACACAAGGTATAAATAAAATAACATAATATTAATTAATCAATGTAGGCTACTCTAAAACAATAAGACTTTTGAGTGTTTATTTCTCTCTCTGCTTAGCATCTATAACTGTGAAGAATAACTACTATTTTAATTTTATTCTGCTGGATGCTATTAGAGGTACTGTATTTTGAAGGGAGCAATGAAAGAAGAGAGGGAAACCTGAGGCAAAAGGTCATGTTCAAAGTATAGAACTGGTTCACCTGCAATGAAAATTCATTGTGGACATAACATTTTGTCTCCATCCAGGTGTTCCATGGCAACAAAGCCCTAATAATTACTGTAGAATTTTGACTTGTTCCATTTCTATAATAGAACAAACCCTTAGGGGGGAGGGAATGCCTCAAAATGGCTGACCTTGAGAGCAAGAAAGAGAGCTCTTCTCCTTGATTTAGATACTAGCGATGAATGAACACAGTTCTGAATTTGGTATCACTTCATGCCCTCTGCTACAGCAAAATGGAAAATGTCTCTGCTGATTCTCTGCCTGAACTGTGAAAGGTTATGACTCGAAGCTTTCCTGGGGCTTTTAGTTTTTTGTTAATCCCAATAAGTTGCTCACAAAAAGCTGAAAAAAATTGCAGCAAGATCACAACAAAGCTCCAGATACAGATTTGCAGCAAGGATCATTTTCTTTTCCTTCAAACAGGCTGTATAACTACTGATACATATGATGCTCAAGCATGTTCAGATGTCACTGCCACTGTCCTTGGCAACAATGACAACTGAGCAGCTTGCCTCAAAATGTACCCAATGTGCTCTTTCCCCAAAATATTTTTTCTACTGACATTTGAGAAACATGAGGATGAGATGCAGTTTGAAACTAAGGAAAGATTCTTTTTCCCACCTCAGTCTCTTGAACTTGGATTTCTTATAAACAAAAGAAGGATTGAATAAGGGTAAGGGTAGACGATGGTGTAGCATTTATGAAATTAAGAAAAATCAAAACAAAACTAAGCATGCTGACATTTGGAACTAAAAACAACCAGCAAAATCACCACGTTCAGACTCATATTGGCTAGTTCTATCTATCCCAGCATTCTCTTGGGACAGCAGCTTGCCCTAGGCTCTACCACAAGCTCGGTGAAGTATACAGCCTCAATTACTAGAGCGTGCAGCCACAACGACCTGCTATTACAGAAACAGTCACCACTGAAGTTAACATTCCAAACCTTAAATAATTCCCATACACCCCCAATTTTATTTTTAAAAAGTCTCCCACCCTAACCCTGTCTCACACCACAAAATGTTAATAATTATAACAAGCAATAACCCATCTGTTATATCAGAGAAGGGAACAGAGACTCCACTGAGAGGTTTAGAGCGAGATGTTAACATTTCTTCAGCTGACTGCACGACAAACGGGAAGGGAGGGAGGAAAAAAATTCATTGGAAAAACAAAGTTAAAAATAGCTGATGTGTATTTTCTGGTAAACATGCAATGATGAAGATGTGAAATTGTTAATATAAAATAAATGATGTCTATGTATGAATGATCACATCTGTATGATATGAAGTTTTTCACACTCTTGTTATGTATGCCTTAAATAAAACCAAGAACATATTTCCTGACATGTTCATCACTGACGAGCAAGGAGCACAGGCATATAGCTATTAGGATGGAGGAAGCCCGCTTGCAATTTAGCAGGTCACTGCAAAGAGAATATGGGGGACGTTTCTTCATTTCTTCCCTACCTTAGGTGAATTTTAAATGTTCATGAAACAGATACATAAATCCCAGAGATAAGACTCTTTACATAGCAGGATTTTTTGTGTTTAGGAGGATCCTGCTCTGAACTAATAACTGTATAATAGCTCACTTCTTGCAGCTTCAGCTGCACCAACTTAACAAGGACAATAATCTTCTCTGCCCAGAAACCTTCCGGCCTGACCCCAAAGTATATTTTATACTTCTCTGCAGTCACTCACGTTAGGTTATTTAAATATTTCATCCCAATTACTGCAGCACATTCTCTAAAAGAATGTAGAGTGTTCCTGTCAACCAGTGAAAGGGAGAAAGCATGAACAGCTGCTCCGTACTTCTTTTCAATTGGACAGGTATGCATTTATGTTTCAAATAGCCTGATTTGGATCTCTAGGCTTTTTGTGCCGAATCTTCCGATTTCAGTTAGGTAACAGATATCAATCGCTTTATTTTCACCTTCAAAACCAAATCAGCAACTGTGAGCATGTGATGCCAGACACCTTTGTCCTACAAGCAAGAGAGTCCCACAAACTATTATCTGGAGTAGGCAGCAGAAGTGGGATTGTGGAGAATGTGGTTGTCAATATTTTAACAGGAAAATACGTAGTTAGCATGAAGGACTCTTCACCAAAAAGCCTGGGGCAATAGATGGAAATAACACAGACTGTCCAAGTGCTGCTATCAAGGTAGGGAGGGGAAATCCCTTTCACTTAGTCTAGAGTTGGCTGAAAGACCTGGTATGTCTCAAGTGCTGCAAGGAGCTGTCTTTAATTATCCTTTCCCATCATATGTATACCTGAAGAGCCCTACAGACTTGCTACAAGGGTCTCATTGTCAGTCACATTGGTTACCTTGAGCAAAGAGGCAGAAATGCATTAAGGTCAATCCTATGGCTTTCTGTAGAAAGCATAAGAAGTGGTATGTGTCAAGGTAATAGCTCAATAACCAAAGGTAGAGACAAAACATCCCCCTTTGATTGTTTCGGCAGCCACCTACCTCCAAATATAGCCTGTGGTTTCAGTATCTGTCTCAATAAAAGTACAAGCTTTACAAAAATAAGAAACTGTCTTGTTGACTAAAAACATGTTTGCTATTGTACTGAAACTATTTAAGGAAGAACGTGATTATAATTTGGTCTTGCTCACTTTTAAAGTATTATTTATAAGAATTTAAAGTATTGTTTCTTCTAAATTTTGCCAGTTGCTTGAGAGTTCTAGTTGCTTGAGTTGTGGTTAACTGAGTTCTGGTTTCACATTGTAGCAAAACACAACACATATACACTCAGCTTGTTTTGTCTGCAGATCTTTCATCTGATCCACTTGGAAACAGTAAAACCTTAGCTCTTTGTCTTATATTCTATCACACTATTTCTTGACATACTAATGTTCTGATAACGTTACATACTTGAGCACCATCTGCTGGAAAATTTTGTTTTTTTTTTGGGCTAAATTAAACATAGAACATTTTCTCCTCTATGTCACAGTCATGACATTCCCAAAATCATATGTTTGTGTAATGCATGTGCAACGGCAGGAAAGACAAAATACTTATTTCCAGTTCCTGTAGGTTTTGCATGGTTTCACTCATAAGCCCATTCTAGCCTCTTTCTGCATCAGTGTGAAATTCTTTCATATGGTGTAGAAAAATTCGAAATAATTTGATAACATTCTTCCTGCATATTTTGGGTTCTTTTTGGAACTGAAAACTGCATAGCAAAAATTGGAGCAGTACCAAAAACCCAAATAATATTTGTGTGTAAACACGGTTCAGTCCAGGAAGAGCAAATCAGGTTGGTTTTTTAAAAAATGTGGCCAATTGAAATCCTCAAGCAACCCTAATAACATGTGAACTGATGGTTTTCTGATTTTATCAGTGTTCCCTAATATGATGTTTCACTGATCTTTTGGACTATATCTTCTTGAATTCCTGATCACTGAATATACTGAAAATAAATGATGAGAGCTGAAGTCTGAAACTTCAGGAGGCCACCAGGCTGGAGGGCTTCCTCTTTTTATATGACAGAACAGAGCAATTCCTAAGGCTTAAATGCCACAGTAGTGTGCAGACAGTGGTATGATAAAACTTTCTCTCCTCATCTGACACCCAAAACCCTTCTTTAGACAACATCACAGAACTCCCAAAGAATATTTTATGAATCAACATGAATTGCAGGAAGATATCTTTCCCTCTTCCTGATTCTGTTGTACAGAGGAAGGCCATCCCATCAGTGGAAGAACTCCACCGGATCAGAATCTGTGGCTGCAATCACAGAAACTGCTGCTAATTGTATCTATTATCAATCAGGAAGTTACCATCTCAAATTGGGGGGAGGGGGGAAATAGCTAGATAGAAGTAGCTTAAGCCACACTCATGACATAGCATTTAATTCTCTTAGGAGTCATGATCGTATCCATAGACCTCCACAGAGTTTCAGAAATGTATTTCTTTACTGGCAGCTTTTTTTGATAAAATCAGAATCTTAGTATCAATCTCTGAAGCTGAAAAAAATGCTTTGCAAATGTAGATGTGTGATACTAAAAGAATAGAGGCAACAATGAGGACACTATTGCAATTCAGTGCAAAGACTGGGGACTCTTGGCTCTAGGCTGCTCTCAGAAATTAGCTTATATACTGTTGGCAATCACCCTATTCCAGTAAATAGATGAAATCTGTGATTTTGGGAAATCTTTGAAGCCTAGAATTCAACAGGAGACTACCAAATTTCTGTGTGAGGGATCATTTGTTGAAATGAGAGAATGAACAGGAATCGATTTAAGTTTTCTTCCAAAAATGCTTTGCTAAAATTGTGAATAAGAAACTGGAAAAGAGAAAATATATTTTTCATACTATGCAGTAGTTACATATAAAGAGACAAGACAAGAAGCTTGGCTGATTTACTACTCTTCTCTTTAGGAAACTCTCGTATCTGTGCAGCATAGAAACACAGAGGAGTTTCGATCACATGCTCACAAACATATGCTGGCCTTTTTAAATAAAAAAAAGACTCTGTTCCCATCTCTAATTTGGCGCTGGAACGGTTAGTATTAATTCAAGAGTTTGGTTTTTTTCACTGCAATCCACAATCTGATTGGTTGGCAGGTCACACTGGCACTCCTACCTGAGGTATTTTAGCGCTAATGATTGGTTCCTGTAAGACTATTCTATAACAGAACACAGGAAGAGCAGTTCAAAAACACAGCTGTGGAAAGAAACAATCACACAAAAAGCCCACCAAAGGGTTTACCAGCCTTTTCTTTCCAGAGGATGCAAGCACGCTTTTCATAGTTAGGTTTGGTCTTTTAAGACAGCTGCCCCTGAAAAGCAAACCCACTAAACGAAGTTGCCTTTGAAGCTGTTTCCTCCCCTATCTTCCTGCTTCTGTGCCTTGGGCCTGATAATATGAATTTTTAATGCAAAACAGCTATATATCCTGTAGGAAACTCGTCATCAAGAAAATATAATAGGATAGGAAGATCATCCTAGAAAAGGGTGTTTGTGTGTGAACAGTTTTCTCTCTTGTGTTTGCTCTTTCCTAGGGTGTATCTATATTATAGAATTAATGTGGTATGATACCACTTTAACTGTCATGACTCAACACTATAGAATCATGGGAATTGTAATTTAGTGAGCCAGAGACTAGCACTTTAACAGAGAAGGCTAAAGACCTTGTAAAACTACAACTCCCATAATTCCACAGCATGGCGCCAAGGCTGTAAAGTAGTGTCGAACTGCATTAACTCTACAGTGTGTTTGCATCCCTAGAATTCATTTGCTGTAGTCCTCATAACTTGTAAAGAAAGGGATAGGCTTTTTTTTCTCCTTTTACTTCAAAATGTTGACATCAGCTTAGTTTAATGTGGTTGACTTTGCCTTATTCACATCAACATTCTACTGCCTACAAGTACGTAAGTAAGGCTGATGCTCTCCTCATTCCCTCCTACAATGGGTACTTTCCCACAAAGGCAGGAAAATAAATAGCTAGCAGGTTATTACACAAAAGCACCATTGGATTCATGCCAATTAAGACAGCAAAAGGCTTAGAAGTTATGACTGAAATGTAGCCATACATTTCAGTTCAGCTAACAATGCAAAGCAATAAGGAAAGCCCAATTAATCTACATAGATAAAGTTCATTTATTGCCCTTTTCTTTTCTTCCTATCTAACAAATGCTAAGGGATGCAACTTTGATTACTTACAGCACAATGACCAATCATGCCATTTTATACCTTGTTGTTGTGCCTTCAAGTCATTCCCGATTCATGGTGATCCTAAGATGAACTTATTATGGAGATTTCTTGGAAACATTCATTCCAAGGAGGTTGTTTTTGCCTTTCTCTGAGGGTGCAAGAATGTGACTTGTCCAGAGTTGCCTAGTAGATGGCCATGGTTGAGCAGGGACTGTTCAAACCATCACAACACACAAGTCTCATTTTAGACCTTAGGCCTATTTAAATACCAAGGATACGGTGCAGCATAAAATAGCAATGTGACATTTTATGTACTAAGAAATGGTAGCATTTTGGCTCAGCTACAGGGGAAACTCCTTCCAACAAGAGTGGAAGCCTTTCTTGCCATTCACATGTGTGAAGGATGATGCTAAGAAAAAAAATATCCATGTGCTTGTCTCCTCACTACTTGACTGGTCTAAGGAAACAACCTAGGAATGCTGGAAGGAAAGGGACAGACCCAGCACCATTCTTTTTTAATTTCTCCACAAATTACAAAAAAACTTTAAGATGAGATAAGAGAATTGGTTTACATATGACCCACACATAAATAATGCTTGCAAAGAACCTGAAATATAAGCAGTAAAGTCTTTTCATATCTGGTTGAAATGCCTTGTACTTGTTGTATGTAGTACGTGTTTGAGAAGATGTCTTGAAGACTGATACAAACCAGAATCAACTAAAGAGTGGCCCATTTACAATCTCAATAAATTTTAGATATATTTTTGAACAGGAAGAATACACATTTCATTTTTCCTACGATAATGTAATTGTTTGTGGGCACAATGCCTAAAATTGGGGTGTTGGGGGGGCACAAATTTGAAAACCTCTATTTAAAATTGATATAGATAGCATATGCATATAGGCTGTTATTATGAGGTGTCTCTCTGAAGAGCACTGGTTCACAGGTACATGTGAATCAGACTTCAGACTTCACCATGTCTGTTTCTTCCCAATTTTGTACAGTTACAGCACCTGGTATTCATCGGCTGTCTCTCATCCGAGTACTAACCAAGGCTGACCCTTCCTAGTTTCCAAGATCACACAGAATTAGGTGCCTTTAAGGTATGTATAAGACTATATATGGTGAATGAGAAGCCTGAAATTGATGATGCCTGCTGATTGTTACACGGGGAAGCTAATGAGAACAAACTAAAAAAGCAAAAACAAAACAAAATCTATGGTTCTATTTAGGAAATGAAATTGCAAGATGTTGAAGTAAAGAATGATTAGGCCAGATGCTATCTAAAGGCAAAGTCATATGTTTTCCAAGATATCTAGCATTCACATTCATATGCTTCACACGGTTTGTTGATTCTGGAGTTTCCTTTGGATATACATAAATCAAGCATTCAAAAGATTTAAAGAGAGGAATGAGCAAGGGTGAGGGAAAGGGAAAATCTGAGGTATTTTGGAGAGATCCAAATTATGCCTATCGGAGATTGAGGTTTTAATGTACTAATCACCTCTCAAGTTGATTACTACTAAATTGTATGAAATAACGCCTGCTAAACTGACCCTGGCAATGGTCAAGAAACCCAGGGGGCTCAGGCCTTGCACCCAGGGGCAGGTGCAGTGACAGAGAAACATGCTTGCATTCTTAAATACATAATGTATATATCCACAAGGATGAAGAAAATTATAAGTAAATTATATTTGAAAACACAAAACAAAAACAAAACCGTCAACCAAAAAAAAAAAAAAGGCTGGCTTGTCAGGGATTAGGGATGAGAAGGCTCCGGTGTGTGTACTTACATAGAGATCAGCACCGTAAAATCCGTCCTGGTAAACCACACTGCAGAAAATCCACACAAAAACAAAACAAAAAAACAAAACAAAACAAAAACAAAAAAAGAACAGAAAACACATTCCGGTTATTGAGGACGGCAGCATGCACATGCATTTTACACAGGCAGGTGATGTATGAATCCATAACCTGGGCTTTCGGGCAGGAGCAAATCAGCAAGAGATTGTGTGTGCGCACGCACGCTAGACAGCTCCATATAATCCTCCATAGCATGCAGGTGGACAGGGCAGAAGGGGAAACAGTATGCAAAGGGGGAATGGGAAGAGATCAACCCGTATGTTGTACAACAAGGTATTGCTGTTGTTGACTTTCAATAGGACCAGATGCTCTGAAGAGGAGAAACCCAATCTTAACTCTAGCTGTTAACTTGGGGAAACTTTAGTTAACCCTAAAACATGGACAAACTGATTTGATGCAATGGGCTTCAAGGAGAAGAAGCAAGTTCTTGGGGAGAAGTTCAGGAAGCGCCGGAGTCCACCTAGATCAGAAACACACCAAGATTTGTGTACAATTCCGCATCTTACAGCCTTGTGTAATAATTTATAACATCCATACATCACCCATTTTATACCCTGTACACTAGACATGCGGTAAGATTTGGCTGATCACACCAGCATGCAAAGTATTATTATTCAGCACCTTAAAATATTGATGCAACACCTCAGAAAAGGGATGAGTACCCAAACCAATCAATTCTGATCAAGGTAAGGACAAATAAATGTAACCAAAGGAAGAAATACCCACAATGCATTGCTTTCACAAGCAGAGATAATGAGCTAAAAGAGTTAAGCGATTTGATCCAAGAACTTAAAAAAAATGAAAGAACAGGGGAATCCTGATAGTAACAACACATTCCATAGCAGAGAGCAGCACTTGGAAGGTTTAGCTGCACTGGAAATCTTTTGAGTTTGACAGCCACTAATTATGTGTCTTCAGAATTTCCAGAGGCAAAATACTAGGAATATGGAAGCTCCAAGGCTTACTAGAACTTTTCACAGTACAAACCATTTTGCTCTGGTAGGACCAGGGAAGGATAATGAAGGAAAAGAAGGATTTGCCACAGCCCTGGTTATGAATGCATGCTATAGCATTGCACAGCTTTCCCCTGCTTTATTCCCATGGGCAGCGGAATGCTAAATCACTCACATTAAAAGCATTAGTTTCCCATATATGAGATTCTTGTGTGCATATATCTGGCTTACCAGGTAATGTTATCACAGGCTAGGAGGAAGGAGGCAGTATTACGTGTAATTTTTTTTCCATATGCCAACTGGAGTGCAAAATGATGCCAAGTTTCTCCCACTCTGCCCAGAACACACTCACCTATAGGAAGTTACAAACAACAAGGCCAAAATACCTTGGCCATAAATCTGCCTTTATATCATGAGGGTTCTACAGTGATGCTTATGTTTGCTTAGGTTTGTGGATCTATGGATATCAAATAGTATCCAAATCACAATCCACTTCCTATGAATAAATTTACAATCAAATTTTGATCTAGACCCTCATAACTGATAATGAGAAATAGACTAATTATACTTTCTTACATATAAAATAGATCAATTCAGCAGGGAGAACAGAGCTATGTATTATAAGGTGGAGAAAAATGTGGTGTCTGTCTTTCATTTCTCCAGTGACATTCTGAAACTGTGAATTCCATAATTGTCACATTGATAAACCACCTTTTACCACATTGCAGCTTACGAGTGTCTTCTTTTTCAGCAAATTTATTTCTTGAAGTATATAATCCCACACTTATGATTAATTTTAACATGCTAAGGGGGAGAAAAGCAACATATCATGTAGTAACAAAGTAACAAAGACTCCTCAGCTTCCCCCCCTCCTCAAATATTTGCTTCCTCTCTGTTATATATTGAGACATATTATATCATCAAAATATTCTGATCAAAATACCCTCTACATAAAAGGTTTTCTGCTGGTTCAGTGTCTTCAGATTCCGGCTATGGCAGGTGAATTACTAGTCAATTTTACAAAATTAACTTGCGCAACTCAGAACAGTAGCCTGTTCTCTGTTGTCTGCCATCAACTGGCAAACAATTCAATGTCAGTTGAATATACAAGATTGTCTCAAGAGCAAGCTCTAGAGGGAATCTGCAGGCAACACTGAATTTAAATTGCCTGAATTTTCACTGAAACCACAAAGGAAGTTCTCCCAAGAGCACTGCTAGGGGCCAGTTCTTTTCTAAGAATATTCCAGTAATTGCTATCAGGGATAATAGTAATTTTTATATTTCTATGCATCGACACCCAGATAAAAATCACTGGAAGAGGGACACTCATATGTTTATTCTGTAGAAGCAATTTTAGTAAACTATTCCAACAATTGTCCCTGTCTGGTTCTAGAAGGGATACTCCCAGGGCAGAGCAATGAAATATACTATATTCTTCTGTAAAGGAAACAATGATCTGGCAACTACATATTGCTCCCAGTTTTAGATTCTGGATAAAGCAGTCCAGTCATAAGCTATTAAAATATTTTAACAGAACTATCATGACTTCAAACATTTGAGTAATATCACTCTGGGCATAGATAACTGCAGGATGTCAGGACTACTTTTTGAAGCATCTCCCTGAAAACTGACCAAGTCACAAAATAATTCTTGTTTTCATTTTCAGATATTCATAGTAGATTTTCACAGTGTGTTGGGAGGGGGGGGGGAGGGCAAAGTCTAGAAGCATCTAGAATTGTTTCCAGGTGAATGTAGGGGGAGGAGAGAGTCAGGGACCCTGGGAGTGCCAAATGTTCCTGGTAGTCACAAGCGCTCCTCAGGGTTCAGTTCCCCCAAATTCTAGTTTGAAGAAAAACCAGTATTAGTTGGATCATGTTCCTATTAAGTAGGTAAAAAAAGTATGGTCCAAATGTCTTTTTTTCTCCTGCTGAGATCTCCTCAGAGAAGAATCTGAGAATGGCAATCAAAGAACATCCAGGTGCAGCATCCTTAGATGCAAAGTAATATCTTAGAGCAAAATCCTCTGGGTTTTTGCCATTCTGTCAAGCCTTGAACAGCTTTAACAGTGAAGCAACCTACGCCTTCAAAATAACAACTGAGCAGCTTCTTGTTACAGATTTATTTCTCTGCTATGGAAATATTCAAAAACAAAGGGAGCCAGATGAGATATTAATGCATTTTTAATTTGTATCAATTTGTTGTCACTGCAGCTGTTTGTTTTATTTTTCAGAAAACTGCACTTCATTTTCCTGCCCTTTATGTATCCTATTTTTAAAACAGATTTTGTGTATCTTTGTTTTAAACCTTTTCAAAATTTCTCCTAGAAAGCAAATCCATTGTGGGTAACTGTCTCACTAAGTCCTATTCCTGGGGAGTGTGCAACAAAGCTCAGAAGCAACATGTGACACTCCTGGGTCACTTAATTGGACTGGATTTCAGAGAGCAGAAGCTGCCTCACGCCATGGACTCTACACCCTTTCTGTAGGCTTTCTTTTATAGGAACACTTCTTTCCCAAAGCCAGATTATTTCCATCCAGCCAACTGCTACCATATGCTAGAGCAACTGGCAGATTAATTGAAATTGTTGCCCTTCAGTGATTAGCTTCTTCAGATAAAATCATTTTCCTTTTTTCCATTCACAAAGTATTGTTTCAGACTGCCTTTCCCTGTGTAATTGGGTGCAGAGTGTTCTGGTGTTGGCATATCCTGACTCTCGCCAGTCATCATGTCTCTACATTTTATGATTATCAAATCAGCTAACTTTCAGATTCTGCAAGTGCTGTTGTTTGGCTTTAAACACTTACCCTGGGTAGGCTGGGATGGCTGCTGGAGGTACTGCTCGCACTGCACCGTAGACTGTCCGACCCCGGCCCCTCAAATGAGCTCCCCTGAATGCGGCTGCTGTGGTGGCTGCAGTTGGATAAGGAAAGCCGGGAACTGTAAAGAGAAACAGACATATGGACAAGGAAAACTGTGAGAAGGGTTACTCTAGCTGCTTAGTTTAAAATAACCAACTTTGATTAGAATGATATGCAGTTCCAGAGCTGTGCATCAGTCCTGCAAAGCAGCATGCTTACAGCCTGGATATTATCACATACTTCTTACTACACAATGGCCCTGAAAGGAAGACACGGTTGCAAAGAGGCCTAGCATGTGAGAGATTGAATGCTGGGTCATGCCTTACTTATCACAAACTGCAAACTGTTTCCCCTCTTCCTCCACCCTGTTTTGATAATAGCAAGCAATATGGTTAGAGTCTGAGAAGCAAAGAGAGTTGCTGTTAATACAGGTAGTTGACTCTTCCACATATTTTGGAATGGAGAGCACTTAAATCTGTCCAGGGACGACCTGGCCACGGTGATCCAGGCTACTGTCATCTCAAGGTTGGACTACTGTAACACCCTCTACATAGGCCTGCCTTTATCGGTGATCCGGAAACTTAAACTAGTGCAAAATGCTGCTGCTCAGCTTCTCACAGGTGTTCCAGCGAGGTGTCATATCACTCCGATCTTGCAGCAACTGCACTGGTAGCCGATTGAGCACTGGATTACCTTCAAAGTGCTGATTCTTACTTTTAAGGCCTTATATGGCCTGGGGCCGGAGTACCCGAGGGACCGCCTCATCCCCTACCAACCCCCGAGATCACTCCGTTCAGACGATCAGAATTTCCTTGAAGTTCCCAATTTTAGGACCTTTCATCTGATGTCTACTAGGTGTAGCGCATTCACGGTGGCGGCTCCTTACCTGTGGGATGTCTTGCCAGCGGAAACACGAGCTCTCTGAGACTTGCTATCTTTTCGTAGAGCTTGTAAAACTTATTTGTTTAGGCTGGCATTTGAATCTTGTTGATTGAAAATTTTCTTTAGATTTTAAATGTAATGTATCGCATATGTATATTGTAAACCGCTCCTAGCCTTCGGGGAGTGGCAGTATATAAAATTGATAAATAATAATAATAAAATAATAAAATAAAAATGCTTCCTAATTTTAAACTGGTAAGCTGACAACAGGATGTGATTAATTTGTGAGTGTATGTTTCAGTCTGTCTTCTATTTCCACTCAGTCCTCCCCAAATTTAATTTCAAGAAAAACCATACAAATCGAACAGAAGGTAGCCAAAATTAATCATAAAGTGCCAGTTTACCAAAAGCCCATCTTCTGGCAAAGTGACACTCCTCCCCCCCCCCTCTCTCTCTCTCGGGCCGTGATATTACACTCCATGGTGGAGTAAACTGGCTTAGGGCAAACCGATGTCAAACCTTGAAATGGCAGCTGGGAAACACAATGCAATAAATACTCACCCAGAAGGTGCCAGACACTCATATGGCACAAATCCAACCCAAGGTGCTTCTAGGCACATCACAAAAAGGCCTCCACAGGACTCACAGTTTAGTAGATTGAATAATATGTACTTTGGAGTCTGGCCTCTTTCATTTTCTTCAGCTTTAACACCAGAGTAATTGAAGCTTCCATACACATACCCTCTTTGATGGATTCCTGACATCCTTATCACTTGAGGAATCCCCAACCACAAGTGAACATGCAAATACAACCCTAACTGAAAGGGGTTATGACCTCTGTTCAGAGAAGTATGCCTCTTACTGAGAAGGCCTATTATTTCAAGTACATATTATACAGACTGAAAAGAAGAGGGTTAACAGATCACTGTTTACTCAAGCACAGTAACAATACAGGGGCCAATAGGGTTACTTACTGATTAAAGGAATGTAAGTGTTAATACCCCCCCTTCCTGACAGGGGCACTGCAGCGTCATTGCCCAGCGAGACATCTGCTTGAAAACTGGATGCTAATTAAGTTTTAAAAAGAATAAAAAATGTAAAAAAGGTTATAAAGAAATAGCAGATTGAGAACACAAACAAACACCATTGTATTCAAATGGCGGAAATTGAAGATTCAATTCTACCTGCATATAATTCAGGGCCATAAACTGCTCCAACCACAGGGCTCAACTTCCAGCCTAAAAGAATACAGACAGAGGTGAGCTCTAAGATCTTCTACAGGAGATAGGCCAACAATTCAGCAAGTGGCTTCTGTTACTTATTCCCTTGTCTTGATACTAATGCAGATTGTTCCTGTGTATAAAGAAAGGCGGCGTTTTCCTGATTTCTCAATGTTCTGGACATAAAACAAGGAAGAAGCAAATACCATCTGATTCTGTTTTAGCAGTCAAATCTGCCAATTACTTCCTATGGTCCGAATACTAAATTTGCAGCTCGCTACTCCTTTTCCATTATCATTCTTTTTTAAAAGGCTGTAGCTGTAGCTGAAGGAACAAATGAAACACATGACTCCAGGTCTAACAATAATGCAAAACATATTGCAGTAAGAAATAACAAATTATTTTTGAAAGTAAGAGCTTCAAACCTTTGAAAATCTGATTGGGTAAGATTACCCATTGTTTGTATGGTAGTTATATCACCAACCTCATAATTCCCATTTTTTACTTTATTTATACCCCATATGTTACTCTTCAAGGGTGACAAGAAGTTTCAGCTGCTGTTGCTGCAGCTATAGTATACTTGGAAGTGCTGATTTCTTGGTTTCCTCTTGGGCTGCTCCCAAATGCCTGGCTACACTGTTTCTGGAGTTGCAAATGGTCCACACACACTCTGCATTCAGGAAGGGGATGTGTAACACATCTATTTAGCTTAGTTTTAAAAGCCATTCTTACCATTTTAATAATTTGTATTGCTTATTTTTTATCACATGCTGTTTCATTATTGATTCCCCCCCCCCCCCCCCAATCTGAGGAATTCCAGAAAGGTGTGCCAGCTTATAGCAGCATTATCCAAATGTTTTCTTGGCATGTTTTCTGTAGAGGAGGGTTGTCATTGTCTTCCTTTGAGGCCGAGAGAATGGTAATCCACTGAGATTTTATGGCTCAGCAGAGATTCAAATCCTGGACTTTTCAAGTCCTTATCCAACACTCAAAACCATAACACCACTCTGGCTCTCATTTTTACAAATATCTCAAATAAATATATATAATCTGGAAATTATGATTTTACTATTATATTATAATGATCAGAAAACAAAATAAATAATATGGAAATAACTAAAGGAATGAGCGAACGGCCTGCCTTAACAAGATTCACTCAATACACAAGCAGATTTGAGACATTAGTTCACACAGATGTCAGGGCTACTATTGAAGACCTAGGACTAGCCAGGTATTTGAATATGTGCACTGCAACTCATCCTGCTAATGAAGGGATGCCGTATTTCATATCTGTTCATCTTCAGTGAAAATGAGATTGGCACAAAAACCACAAACAGACCAAGTTAAAAGGAGCTGATCCTAACCAAACTCTGCCATTATATCTCAGATCAGCTTCCTCAACATGAGAGCCATATTAGAAATATACACTATAGTAGGCTCTTGGTATTTATATTCAGAACCCATTGTGGATACCAAAATCTGTGGATGCTCAATTCCTGTTATATACAATGCCATACCAAAATGGTGTTCCTTACATAAAATGGCAAAATCATATCTTGATTTTGCCTTTAAAAATGTGTGGATGTAGAATCCAAAGATTCTGAGGTATGTGGTTCTTTTATATATATATACTTGAAGGGCCACTGTTCAATGCTAAAACTTGTGAATGTTCCACATTTAATCTCTTGGGTTTCTGGTAGTTAAAAGTGCAAAATAAGTTCTTGGTCAAAGACCCTGAAGAACTGCTATTCAGAATGGATGATATGAGATAGATGAACCAATGACCTGACAAGTGCAAGGCTGTCCTTCTGGGAAGAAGGCAAAGGACATAATGTACATGACTCATCTCTAATACTGTCAATTCAGAAATCTTTACAGAACAAGGCTGTAAGGGAAACCCTTTGAAATTGCAGATAGCCACTGACAATCTGAGTAGACAGAGCTGAACTAGATGGAAAAAGGTTCTAATCTGGCAACTCCTTATAGCAATCTTAATATAAGGTTAATCTAATATTGTGAAGATAATGTTGCTTTATTTTGGGGTTTTTAGACCCGAGAGAATATAAAGACACAGAGATATATTAGTGGATATATTAGGACATGGAGGTCCTCTGGTGGACTGCTACTCCAACCAGTCAAAACCCAACTGGCAACTGTCACCCAAATGACCTTTTCATCAGCTGCCCCACGACTGTGGAATGACCTAACAGAAGACCATCAGGAAAGGGAGGTAATAAATAAAATGTATTATTATTATTATTATTATTATTGAGTTTCTGGTGGCACAGTGGGTTAAACTGCTGAGTTCTGAACTTGCTAACCGAAAGGTCGAAGGTTCAAATCCGGGAAGTGGCGTAAACTCCTGCTGTTAGCCCCAGCTTCTGCCAACCTAGCAGTTCGAAAACATGCAAATATGAGTAGATCAATAGGTACCGCTCTGGTGGGAAGGTAACGGCACTCCATGCAGTCATGCCGGCCACCTGACCTTGGAGGTGGATGATGCCAGCTCTTCGGCTTAGAAATGGAGATAAGCCCCCCCCCCCCCCCCAAGTTGGACATGACTGGACTTAATGTCAGGGGAAAACCTTTACTACCTTTACTATTATCATTATCATTGTTGTGTGTTGTTGTTGTTGTTGTTGTGGTTCCAAAGGGACATGTCTGGACACCACAAGAAGTATTCTTCTGAATTCTGTTGTTTTTTTTTTTAAGGTGAGCAGCCATTGTGTATTCAGAATTGCCCTGAAACAGTAGACTTGCAATCCGTTGTTTTTTCCTATAGCACAATCATCAGCAACACAAAGGATTTTGTTTTTCTCTTCATATTTTCTTCTAAAGTTATTTATTTGATTTATGAAAGAATGGACAAGCAGAGTGTTGCACCCTGCTGGCATAGTTTGAGCATCATTCCCAATATCTATCAGTGACGGTAAAAATGACTATGTACAACATTTCTCACCAATTTAAAAGCAAACAGCAAGAAATTTTTCAAAGTCATTACAGAAAATTGTTAATCTATATTTAACATCTAAAATAACTTTATTTCCATGACTATGTCAGTTCAACCATTATAATGGGGTATCTCTTACACTTGAAAAATGATCACACATTTCATTTCACTGTTTACAAACATAAAGCACACAGGTTTTTAAAAAACATTTTTCAACAAACTTTCCATTATATTGAAATCTAAGCATAAAGAACTTGACCCCGTGCTTATTCATTCTTTCCCCCATACCTTTGTCGTTCATTATTAGCATAAGCATTTCCTCTTACCATTTGCATATGGTGTAACCATCTTCTTATTTGTCATCACTCGTGCAGTAGCATTATTAACCTGAAAGCAAAAGGGGGGAGGGGGGAGAGGGAAGGAAGCATAGGACTTTAGCAAAAATGGTGGAAGGCTCTTTGATTACAGTTATTTACATTTGTAACTGAACACATTTAAATTTACTTTTACAGATTATCATTAAATTATATATTAAATTATTTTAAAAATCTAATTCTGGAATTTTTATTATGCATTAAAAAAGGCCAAAAAGAGTAGATTTTCACAGGCATCCCTGAACTAGGTATTTAATGCTCTTGTGATCCAGTGGGAAAAATGTTTTTCTTGATATTTCTTCATGAGCAGTTTGCCGATACAAAGCTTTGAACAAAAACAAATGTCTTATTTTTAGTAGTCTTTCATTGAACTGCAGTGGCCTATTAATATCACAGCAAAGGCTGCTATTTAGGCAGAAGGGCAGCTTAGATCCCAGGTGCCTTGGATTAATTCCCTCCACCCCGAAAGGGTTTTGGTTTCCGAAGCAAAAATATCATGACAGATCCATCTCCAATTGCTAACTTTTGAGAAGGATAAAAATGTGCATCATTAATAAATTTAGAAGGAGTCTTCTGATTTCCTAGTGTCCTCCACTCTCATTACTGAGCTCTTTATAACCTGAAGCATTCAAAGCACTGCAGCAAGTGGGTGTCACAGCAGAGATGGTGCTAGTAAAACATAGGAGGGGTGGGCAATGCCAAATTACTGCAGCCTTGTGTCAGGCACAGCCTCGGAGCTCTTGCACAGAGGGTGAAGGCAGAGTTAGAATCAGTGACTTTCCAAAATCCTAGGTTACAACAGAACAAAGTAGCACACCAACTGCAAGGCCAAGTAAGCAAAGGGAACTGTTTAGATGCCCTTTGCTGTTTGATTAAGAAAACTTGAGCAGAGAAAAAGGGAGCCTGGAATCTCATTACTCTTAATTTCAGCCCTCAAACAATATCAACATTACACATTTAAAAAGAAAGAATGGGAAACAACAACGATGAGACTGAGAGCATGCCATTAAAACACACATAAAAAAGAAAAACAACAACAGTCGATTAATGGGGCTAGGGAAAGGAAGAGGGAGGAGAGGTCTCACAGACAATCATTAAGATGGAGCGAGTGCCTGAAATCAGCTGCTACAGCAGAGTGCAATACAACCACTTAAAGGAAAAATGGCCAAAACCAATCAGAAACCACCAGTCAGCAAAGAGAGACCAACAGCTGCATTTAACTGAGTGAATAAAAAATGGCAAGGGAGAAAGAGAGAACAATCATAGGTCTGGAGAGAGGGAGAACAAGAGAAAACAAAGGTGAAAAAGAGAGAAAGGAAAGGTATGGGTGCATTAATAAAACCAGCCAAACTGGAGTTCAGTAACTCTGAGTAAGATGTGCAAGGGAAATCACCAGGAAATCAGTAATCAAACAGCTCAGACTACACAAAACGGTGTGTACATCCAAAGTCCAGGCGGCATTACTCAACAGCGTTGAAAATAAAAGTGGGGTGGGAAAGGAAAAAGGAAAGGGGGAAACAACAAGTCAAATCACATTTTGTAGTGTTAATGTGAAATGGCAGATGGATTTTTTTTCTTTCTTAATTTTGTTTTGCATTAAAAAAGAGAAAAGAAATAAGCTTCTCCTCTAGCACTTTTGATTTCACTTACCGCCAACTCGTACCATCGCCAGCATTGTGTATAGTTACCATGGAAAGAGTGAGTCAAGTGAAGGGCCCTAAACACTAAACCATTGAAAAGGGAAATAAAACAACAAAAACAAAAACAAAAAACAAAACAAAAAAGCAAAATATGCAGACATCTTACTCAAAACTGCGGCTTTTAAAATTTTCCCACTTATATTTAGTACTTTTTTCCCTTAGAAATGATGGGAGCAGAAAAAGGGGCCAGTTAGCCTTCAGAAAATTAATCCCTAAGGTGTTACCCATCTACCCCAATGCAGGTAACATCAGCTTCACACTGTTATCAAACTCTATGCACATTGCTAGAGCTAATTTTGAGTGCATATTTGATTACTGGGACTATATCAAGAAGCATACTCCAATACATTTCTTTCCATTCCTCCCAATTATTAAATAATGTCACTCATGTAGGAAAACTAGCCTCTGAGAAAAAGACAGATACTGACTGGCCCCCTTCTTTGCTTTTAGATACCAAGTTACCAGATGGACAGTGCTCTTTTCATTAGTTTTGATCATGTGTGGCTAGAGAAATTCGGAGCCTCATAAACTGAAGCAAAGGAAAATCAAGATAGCAGAAGGGCAAAAATTTGGAGTGGGTTGGAAACCAACTTAAAGAAAAAAGGAAAAGAAAAAAGAAATAATACCTAAAATAAGAAAACATATAGATACATATTTGGGTGGAGGGCGTTATTTTTATACATCTCAGTGCAAAGGATAGGGAGTGAAAAAACACAGAGATACAAACACACACACGCGCACATGTATACACACAAGACAGGAATCCAAATGTGAAATAAGTGAGGCAAGACACAAAAAAAGAAACAAAAGGAATAAATATAAAGAAGAAATTGAATTACTGAAGACATGCACCTCGATTTTACGGCCCTCTACCACGGTGCCGTGTAATTTCTCCCTGGCCCTGTCTGCATCAGCACTATTCTCGAAAGTTACGAACCCGAATCCCTGCATGCAGCGGGAGAAGGGGGGAAAACATGCACATCGTTATATATTGAAATACTGATATCTAGATAAATAGAGAAAAAAAATATCACAGTATGAAATTGACATCAGCACAACTTAGCAATACTCTCCTAGAGTCACATTTTTGGTTCATGCATGTTTCATGAAAGAAATTTAATTTTTTTAAAAAATAAGAAGAAATAATTAGATTGAAAATAATAAAACATAAAGCAATTGAGGCCAGACCAAAAACAAGTACAGTTACTCGAGACAAATTTTGAAAAGTAAGGTATTTCCTAGCCTGATAGAACACCAATTGATAACATCTAGACAGAAAATCTTGCCATTCAGGACCACTCAAATGCATATTTTGTAATACTCTTAGCAGATGTCTTTATGGCAAGGATATGCAAAGGAAGGTGTTTTGAACAAGCCACAATAAGAAAGGAGGTGGGGTGTTAGAAATCCCTACATTTTAATGCTGCATCTTTTATTGGATTTCATAAACCTATGTAAAATTATCCACATTGTGTTGTGTAGGTTTATGTACTGGAGGTATTGCTTAAGTCTTCTGGCACAAATAAAATGCATTTTGGGGTCTGAACAGTGTTCTATGCCATTATTTCAGATGTAGGACTGTTTTTATACAAACCTGCAACACAAGACATCCTGCTAATTTTGAAGAGTATATAACTATCTTTCTCCATCTTCATCATCCTTTCCTTCTTTCCATAACTTGTTTGGTTTTTTAAGTCCTTAAACAACAACAAAATTCTACTGGCAGAGAGCTTGGAAATGTTACTTTTTGGATTATAATTACAGGAATCTCACAGCTACTGTGACCTGTCATAGTCATTAAAAGTTCCTTTTTCAAGCTCTCTGCTTGTGTGACTCACCTTCGACTGGTTTGTGTGACTCACCAGTTGAATATTGATGCAACTGGACTCCCACCATACCATCAAGGTTTCTCTGAGTGTTGCAATTGATTATTTTAAGCAACTTATAAATATGTTGGAACGTTTTTAAAAGTATTTGATAAATATGGGTTATAAGGAGCACTGTATAAGAGATATTGAATGAATTGGATATGTCAGAGAGGAAAGCATTATCTGTAGTGTTCTTTTAGAATTACAGCAACAATGCAAGGTAGGAAACACTAGCTTTGGTCCTCCTCCATTGCAGCTATCCACAAATATTGGATGCTCTACCCTTTTAGATTCACAGCTTGGCATCAGGGTGGGGAAGTGACATGCTCCCCTTCTCATGTGTTGATTTGAAGGGAACAGCTGAACAGGTTACATTATTTTTTTTCCTGTATGTTTGCTTCACAGATGGTTTTGTGTTTAGATATAGTAGATACGTTATTTGAAAAACTGTAGAAAGCTACAAACTGTATAAGTCTAAGTCATGTATAAGTCCTTATATCAGGAGAATGGCAGGATAAAACTAAAGTAAATGAAATACATAAAAGTAGAAATTTTAGTCAAAAAATTGCCTCAAAAAACCTGGGTTGACTTATCTACGGGATCAATGTAAGTATACCTTAACTCTTATTGAAAAAAGGAACCATCCCCTTCTCTGAGTACTGTCCTGGGAGAACCTAAGAGAAGTACTGAGTCCTTCTATTCTCTTTGTGGTGGTGCTTCTTCTGGCTATTTCAAATCCCTGGATAGGGAAACAGTGGCAGCCAGCTCCCCAAGCATGTCCTGATTTACACATGAGGTCGACTTACATGGGTATACAGAATATATAATCATGAAGTAAGTAATAGCTTATTTTGTAAAGGAAAAAAGTATCTAGAATAGACACTGTAAAACAGGACTCGTTTAGGAACCACCTGTTTAAAAGAACTGAAGAATTTTCACAGAAACCAAACAAAAAGAAATAGATTAAACGTGGAATTATATGAAAAGAACAGAAGGAACAAATGGGTGTCATGCTGTATGTATGGATTTCCTTATAGCTTACTCTACATTTTAAAACCTCAGAATCTAGATAAGTGTGTGACAGTAGTCTCCAATCCAGAGACTGATCATATCTACTCCTATTTAGTTTCCAGCAATGCTTGAATATCGGTTGGCCAAATCAAAGGAAAGGACAAATGGCTGTTTAAAATACAACAGCATTTTACCCTTTGTCCTTACTAGAATGGGGGAAAAGAAAATTATTCAAATATTGGTACTAAAATAAAAACCTAGATAATACTGTAATTCTATACACGGTTTTCTCAAAATGCACCAACAAAGTACAATTTGACACCACTTTAATATCCAATGATATAGAATAATGGGGTTTGTAGTTAGGCGAGGCACCAGTTCTCCTTGACAAAGAAGACTAAATACCATATGAAACATATAACCTCTATGATCCCATAGCATTGAGATATGACAGTTGAGGTGGTATCAAACTGCATTAATTCTACAGTGTTGATATACTCCTAATATTACATCCAGCTGAATGCAGCTGAATTCCACATATGGGGAGATAAGTACAAGATTGTATTGCTGAAGATATAAATCTGTATTTCTTTTCAAAGAGTATCTTTTTGTTGTTTTGTTATGCAGACATCCTCATGATATAAGAGAGGCAAACAGCTAGAGAAGCATCTTCATTTTTCAGCAGGGAAAAGTAATTTAAGTAGGTCATGATTTTAAAGTGCTCTTGAAGGTGCTATAATGAGAACCTGCAAGGGCTCATGCCTTTCACCGTCCCAGTGGTGTTGTGTGTGCTGGATTTTCTGCTTCACAGTTGGGTTTCCTATGATAAGTTGCCCTGTATTTGCAGAGTTCACTGGAAAGCATATTCAAGGGATAGGATCAAGATCTCTTTTAAAATGAACTTGATAATTAAACTGGGTCATTGGAGTCTCCAGAAAAAAAATCCTTCACACCAAAATTGGAGTACAGACTTTGTGAAAGGGTTTATCCAGAAGAGCAAGACCAACAGCTTTCCGCTAGTGCTTGGAGGGTTTGGGGGCTTAGTGTTCAGAGAGTAATTTCCCCCATTCTTCTTCCCTCTAGGAACTCCTAAGTTCCTGACAGGTCTACAATCATTTTTAACAGTGTGCAGCTGGTGGCAACTGCAGCCTTTTCTGATGGCCCTTTTCCCTGGAGGCTGCTTCTCGGGAAGAAAAGGAAAGCTACCTTCTGCTCCACTGCTTCCACAGCCAGATTCTGTTCTACTGGGGTGAGCAGATGGAAGAGCTGGCTGCTGGGAAAATTGCTTTTGTTACTGCACCAGAAAAATAGCTTCTATCAGTGATGCTGTAACTGATGGGGAGGACACTCGATCTCCCTGTATGTGCTGTACTAATGAACACCTACCAGCTATTTTATGGAGAATGAGTGTCCTATGCCAGGAGATGAGCAACATAGTTCCCAGAATCCCATGCCCAAGAGCAACTGAAGGACCTTGCTGACAACTACATAATTTTTTACTTATATTTCTCTTACAAGTTGTCTTGAATCCCAGTTTTCAGAAACAGGCAAGGTATAAATAAAGTCATGGATAGATGGATGGATGCTTTTGATATATTCTATTACCTCCCTGCTAAAAGCGGTCCCTATTTTATCTACTCGCATTTCTGCTTTCAACCTGCTAGGTGGGCAGATGAGCTGGAACTCACGGTGGGTGCTCATCCTGACCTGGGCTCGAACTGCTGACCTTTCAATTGACAGGATTTTTCTTCAGCACAGCGCTTTACTTAACTTGGTTGTTTCATTTAATATGTTAATACTGATAAAATAATTTCTTGAAACATATTAAACTGCTTTTCTTCTTTGTGGCATCAGAACTGATCCCAATTTTTCCCATGTTACTTCTGTTTCCTGTTAAAGAAGAAGTGTTCAAGAATGTGTCTACACTGTCAACTGAGGTATACCTATATTTGCATTTGGATTCTCCTTACACATACCCTCACTATAGTGATGAAATAACACAATGAAGTAGTTCAAGTGGATTATATATTGGGTGAAAATTGTACAAGCAGATCAGCAGCCCTGGACTCAGAAGCCCATGAAATATTTATAAAAATTCTGTTTTCAGTTAGAAACAGTGCTGATTTTGAGGCCAATTTTTATAGTTAGTCTTTTCATCCATTTTATGTTGAAGATATTATCCAGACTGAGTAACTGCTGACTGAACTAAATGTTCATAAACATACCCCTCTTGTAACCTGGAACAATCTGCAGCCTAGAAGCACCACGTTTTCTTTAAGGAGCTGTTCAAGGACCTTGAAGATACCGAGTAACCGTCATCCTTTTAGTCTGGCCTCAGATTTTGCAATAAATAACAAGCAACAGGATGAGCAGTGTAAAAATAATAATTGTACAGAGTTTTTAAAAATGTTTCCATCTCTGAAGAATGAGAAAGAAAATTTACCATGTAACCGTAAAGGGAGAAATCAAAAGCAGAAGATTCTCCTGGGTGTGGCCAGAACACAGAAATTAAGAAAAATAATAAAAACAAAACAATAAAAAAGAAAATAAATAAAACCCAAAGGAAACGAAACGGAGCCCCTTGAAATCCATGCATTGTTAACCCTTGTTGTTTTGTTCATTATGTTTAGAATATTCACCTCAGAAGCAGAATCTTTATCTTACTGTGCTGGAATAGATTTTCCATAATTTCAATTGCTGCTCTATCTAGATACACACATAGACTAATCCAATAGCCAGAAGCCTGGAGAAATGGTCAAAAGAAAAGGAAAAAGAATTCCAGGCATTTGATCTGCTAGCTTTCAAATGCTATCAATTTTATATAGGCCATCCTTCATAATCCATCTGAGATGAGTGACTGCAATCAGAAAAAAAACACACATTTCTCTGTTTAAAATAAGAATCCTGTTTCTAAAACCTTCAGGGAAAAGGCTGTAGAATTTCCATCTCTCAGTATATTCCTCTGATTGAATTTGAACATGGAATGGTAAAGTCATTTAATGAGAATGGCAAAAGCCACTGGAAAAATTCTGTATGGAGTAATGTGATCTAGGAATGACATATAGTCAAATCAAAGTACTGTTGGTATTTGAATTAAACTTAGAAAAAATGGGAACATTAGTATCTGGAAACAAGGAAATTGGGAACAGAACTTGATTGCATCTATTGTAGCTGTTTTACTGATAAAGTTAAAATGGCACTCAAGTATTATAAATAGGGAAGACTCTTCTATTGGATCACCCAAAGAAAGTCTCATGAGCAGTGGAGTGCAAGGCCACTTGTTCATTTAGTACCACCATTACTTCATAACTAAAAAGCAGAGGACATATCTGTTACATTTTCTATTTTCAAAAATACTACATTGCCAAAATGAAACCTTTTTTTTGGCTCAAGTGCTTCATTTTCCCATGCCATACCTTGCAGGGCCTACACACCACCAGTTGGTAGGGTCAATAACGTGCACATACCACCACAAATACACATTCACACACATACACACTTACTGCTACTTTCAAAATGCCTCTCTGCATGAGTTGTTCATGAAAAAAGAGGTCAATTGACTTCTGTACGGAGTGCTGAGAAAGTGGCCTCTCCCTTTTCAATGTCCATCAGGGAAACACAATGTACAGTTCACACAAAAATGGGATAATCTCTTCTCTCACTGACACCTCTGTGGTGAGAATCTGAAGTCACAGTAATCTCTTTAATTCTTAGAGAGAAAACTAACTGCCTGTGATCCTCCTTCCCTTGCTAGCCCAACTGAAAACAACTTGAGGGAGAGATTTATGGAACGAAGGAGGAAAGGATAATAGGCAAGACTTGGGAGGAGAAACTAGGCATCAAATGTGGAGGCCCAGTAGGTCACGTCTAACCTGCTGGCCACTAATTCTTCACCATGCTCATACACCATATTAGTAATGATTGAAGTAAATTGATTTGATGAAGTCTCATTTGATATGCACAATGTGACTTACCAAGGCAACATGAAACAACCAACATGGCACAGCCATGGAAAATGGCTTGATTGTCCATAAGCACACATAAACTGCTATTGCCCATCCATCTCTGGGTTTATAGTATACACTAAATAATCTGAATATTCAGAACTGCTGGCCAGCTGGAATTCAATTTGATTTCATATATACTTTGTGTATTCCGAATTTTAGTTTGGTCCAAAACGTGCATAGAAGAGCTCTTTCACAATCCACGTGTCCTCACACAGATGAGAAAAGCAAAATACAGAATTCTCAGATTGCTCTCTGAAGTGATGCAAGCAAGGCTATTTGCTAGTCCTCCATGCACTCAATCATGTCGCATTGGGAATACTCTCCTAAAGTCAGAAAGACGAGATACAGCTCTCCTTCAATCTATCTGACTTTAGGAGAGCATTCCAAATGCAACACGTACCTCTTAGCTATGTTGGGCAGCCAAATATCAATATACCCTCTTCCATTTAAACATAGAGGTTATGCTTAACTCAATAACTGTTTCTTGTATTTAAGACCATTTTAATAAAAAATTCTGTACCCTAGTCTAAAGCCATGGAGGTTACTAGATAGTATCAAATTTGTTTCCACGGAAAATAAAATACACAATATCTGGGATAAATTAAATATTTTCCCAAGCAAATTTGAAGATGCCAGCATTAAATTGTGATCTTTGATATAGACATTTGTTATTAACTGTTGCCAAGTGGACTTCCATTTATAGCAACCCTATGAACAAAAGACCTCCAAGTCACCCTATCACCAACAGCCCTGCAGTTATAATCATCAGCTCCTAGATAATAAAATCCCAGTAAGAAACAGATTTTCTCAAAATCTAATGTGAACATGCTCACACATACACATAAACAAATAACCAATTCTTACTTTGATTAGGAAAAGAAAAGCTATCATCTCATCTCAGATGGACCAAAGGGAAAAAGCTGAATTTTTTAATACTTTCAAAATTTGAAATGCTGTAACAAAGACAGCAGAGTACCTTTGCCAAAATTGTGAAGGGATAAAGATCTGCTGATCATGGAGGAGCTTCCCAAATGCTGGGTAGGGGCACACCCAGGGCAATATGCATTTGAACACTTTCATTATTGTAACATTCATTTATCCAACACATATTCATGAATATACCCTTTAAAAACCCAGGGATGGAAGGGATATTTTGAGAATACAGCACAAGGCAGGCAGCAGGAGCATCTGCTTTCCAATTCCCAAGAGAGAGAAAAGAGGTTCCATATCATTAGGTTAGAATAGAAACCAAAGGGTAGGAGAAAGGCATTCAAGTTGTGGCATATTTTTTTGGCAGAAAAGAGGGGAGTGACAAATGAGCATCCCTAGAAAGACTTGGATTGAATCACCATCCAGATTCTACACTTCTAGGTTTTGTTTTAAACATGGAGATATTCCATATGACCCAACTCAATATTTAGTTATCGAATTACCAAATATTCTTCAGGGTTTTTAAAGTCTCAATTATCCTATTCACTATATTTAAAACAGCAGGCCTTAGTTCTGAAGTCATTGACAAGACTGCTGCAAATCTGGAAAGACAGTGATAGAAATTCTACCACCAAATACAGAAGAACCTGTTCAAAGTTTTTAGGGCTAAATACTGAATGAAAAAAGTTGGTAATTAGTAGCTAACTTGTTTTAACTGAAAACCAGAAGGTTTGGATTTCCTGAGTAACATAGTTAAAATCCATCAAATTTCTGCGAGTTCTGGAAAATTCTGAATGTTTAAGGACAGAGAATGTATCTGAATGTGCACTAAAATGAGAAAAAGCACACGTGAAGGCACCAATGCATATAACATTAAGGAATGGATTCATGTGAAGAAAGGTGTAATTACATTATTGTTACTAACAGGTCTGTTATTTTTGCATGCTTTTCACAAAATTAAAAACAATAACTTATTTTTCTTAGGCTGGCAATAACTAAAGCAAATGTAATCACACACGCTTTATGTATATGAATATTGAAGCTTTGCAGAAGATGGAAAATATTTTATGATTAATTCATAGATTGTATTCTGTAAAAGGTTACAAATTATGATTGTTTAATATGTGGACAGTTGCATAACTGAAAGGACAGGTATGAAATAGTCTGCTACTCTTCCAAAAAAAACCTCTGTGTAGTCTGCTACTCTTCCAAAAAAAAAAAAAAAAGCTCCTCGTATCCTGCTGACTGCTTTCAACTGGCTATTTTCAGTAGCCTCTGGCTAAAGAAGAGCAGTAGAAGCACATTGTTTCTTTCATCCTAAGACCATTATAACAGGTGCAAGACACGTAGGAATAAAAGGCTGAATAAAGGCCTGCAGTTTGCCACTCTCCATAAATTCAACACATGCTGTGCTGCAAAAAAAACTTCAAAAAACCTCAACAACTACCACCCAACAACCTCAATAAGCTAAGAGTCCCATTTGCCTGTCAAGCTTAAAGGGGGGGAAAACTCTCAGAATTTAGTGGAGAAATGAAGCAGGCAGAATACTATAATTAATGTATTAAAGATCATCCCTTTTCTGGTTTTCAGATAATACATATAAATAAATTTTAACATGCTAATCAATAAATTCATGGATGAACTTCAACCTGAACATAAAAATCCAAGTGGAGCTATATTGTACAGGTTCATGAACTTCAGTATCACAAAAATTGAATTTAAAAATGCAATACTATTTACATCATGGAACAGTTGTGTACAATTGAGTGGGGGACGGGACAGATGTTCATTTTTAATTAAAAGTGGAAAACTTAGCATTGATTAAGTCAAGCATAGTATAGACATGCACTGTGCAAGCTTCCCCCACAGAGCTCTGCCAATGCACCTTGCTCCTGACCTGCAACACTCCCTGCTATTCCAGTGCTGGACCTACTGGGCAGAGAGAGAATCACATCAATTCTTCAGTGAAGGGACATTGGTTTCATAATGAGAACCAGTTAGGACAAACATAACTTAAAATGGCTGCACCTGTCACTAGAACATTTGTAATCTGTCTCTAGGGTGTTTGATTAGAATTAACCCTTATACATGTTAATTCTAGTGCATCTTGAATAGCTACATTATAGCCATTCATGAAAATTAGAAATATATAATATGTCAGGCCTTTTTGCAACGTGGAAAGGCTCATTAAATTGTGAAAGGTCTTACCCCATATAACCATAGTTTGTTTTTTAAGGGACAGAAGCCACCTTTCCCAAACACCATTCACTTGAGAGACATCAGAAGAGATCTCTCTCCGACAGATTCAGCAGTTCTCTTTTATTCTTGGAAGTGCTGACAACTTGATCTTTCAAGGGGAAAATAATGGAAGTATTAGGGCATATATATGTGTGTGTGTACCGATGACACTCAAAACTTGTAATTATACAGAACAGGAGTTTGGAGAAACCCATGATGCCTTGTTCTTGTTCTGTCTGCAGAGTGTATTCTCTAGGCAAGAAGTTGCCTTACAACTGAAGGGGTGATGTGGTTCAGGAATAGGGAGAGAAAATAAAGGCACTGGGCATAAAAAGGAAACTTACCTTGGAGCCACGTTCATTGAAGATTATCTCTACATCAAGGATTTTGCCAAATTGCTGCAAAGAAGGAAGAGAAGATTTACCCATGGTTAACTAATTCATTTCAATTGTCATATTTTCACAAGCTAACTGAATAGGAAGAACACCTTCATTTCTAATGCACAGCTGAAAATGTTCCATAATAAACTGAAGTTGATTACTTCCAGTTCAGCTATTGAGTTTGTGCTGGTTGTCAATTTTGTTTAGCTGAAGCACTTAACTACGTTACACATCCTGAGCCAACTGAAGGAGCATAGCCTGTAAAAGCTACCTGTTCACCTTTTTCCAAACAATCTACTTTATTCCCTTCATCACCTGGCTTTTGTTGTCCCATCCTTGGGTTCATTATTTGCTGGCTGAGTATACCTCAACTTTATTATAACTGTTGTGATTCCCTTCAGAATTTTCATTTTCTAAAGATACTTTCGGTGCTTCTACAAGCCTCAAGTGTCTCTTGGGCATAGCTATTGTACTGGATATCTAACTAAGAACTTACCTCAGTAGAAGGAATTTTATGAACATTGCAGTAATATCAAACTCAACCAACAGAAGGTCAAATCAGGGTACCAACATCAGCCCTTAAAAACTCATGACAGAATAAACCAGTTTACCTGAAGAGCTGCCTCCTCCCACATACAGATTCTAAGATCATTTCTGAGGCCTTTCTCTGGGTACCTCTTCCAAAACAGATCAGGAAGGTGGCTATTGAAAATGAGGCTTTTTTCCCCATTGGAAGAGATTTGATTGTGGAGTGTCCTTCCCAGAAAGGGACAGCCGGCACTTACATTGCGTCAATTTCTGCATCACGTGGTTTGTTTATTCCAGTCTTTTCCTTCCACATGTTTGGTAGTAATATACTTGCCTCCTGTTGAATTTATATCCCATCACTGACTTTTTTTAAAGATTGCATTTGTATTTTACTTCTTAATTTTTCTGTATGACCACAGAGCAGTGAGTATTTGGCAGTTAAAAGAAAAAGAAAACAACTGCTTGCCACGAAACCCTTTGATCTATTAGCATACTGAATACTGCTAAAGAAAATGTAACGGTAACCTTCCCAGTAATCAGAAATCCTCACACAACTTCCAAACAGAAAATTTTGCTTGGCAGTGCCATTTTTAGATTTTCTCCTCATTAAAAACAACTTCACACACTGGTTCTTTCATCAAATCAACCTTGCCTTCTATACCCAGTTTCAAACAACAACTGCATGTTTAAAAAGAGGCTGTCATTACAATGAAAAGATGTCTTAAGTTGTTTTTCTACAAGGATTTTGCCCCAGATATCATTTCATTCTACAGTGCAGGCCTATACATAGTGAAAAGTACACCCCCCCCCCCAAAAAAAAGCCCTGGAACATTCAATAGGAGTTATTCCAAGGTAAATGTGTACAGAAACACAGCCTGAATCTCATCTTTCCAGAAGAGACTGTGATGCTTCTTTAAGCATTCACATATTGCAACTAACTCCATCAAAAAAGTATGAGTCACATCCACTCCTCAAAAAATTAAATAAGAAGAGGTCACAGTTGTTTGCTTTTGCAGCTACATAACCTCCACCCCTGCACTTCCATCTTAATGTATCTATTGCAGGCTTATTGTCAACTCTTTTCAATTTTAGTGTAATCAACATGACTTTCCCCAGAGGCACTGATCTAACTAGGCCAGCAGTATTTGTTGCGCGGACCAAGCTGAATTAGACAGAGTGGACATATGCTAAGAAATCAGTAGTTGGAGATTTTAATCCTCGACACAAAGGGAAACCCTGTAATTTACTAGCAGCATCACAAGTTATGTTATAAAACAGCAGTCCAAACCTTTCTCTTGGAGCTATTAAACACAGAGAGACTTTGGGGGGAAAAAATACTTATGTGGATTGGCTATTCTGGGTGGAGGATTCTGGGGAATTTTATTATATAAAGTTTACCTGCCCATGATGAAGCTCGCCAAAATCGGTTTCCTGTTGCTCTAGGAGCTGGGATCCAAATGCAGAAACAGGCTATTCAGCTAATCTTTGGAAACTGGAAAACCTCGGGCCCCTATTTCTTACTACAGTAATTCTGTATAAAGTATAACAATAGCACTTTGGATTTTTCTCCTTTTCAGTTCCAATTTGAACCACATTTTGAAATTTACAGGAATGTTCCTCATTCATTTGAGGCCGATAGTTTTGTTGTCTGTGGACCATTGCATACTAGAAGACAAGGCATAAATGGAGAATTTTAAGTACCACTGCAGACGTAACAGGAAATATTTTTTAGACTAGGCATGGGTAAACTTCAGCCCTCTAGATGTTTTGGACTTCAACTCCCATAATTCCTACCAGCCAGTAGGAATTAACAGAAAATATTGTCTAGACCAGGCATGGGCAAACTTTAGCCCTCCAGGTGTTTTGGACTTCAACTCCCACTATTCCTACCGGCTGTTAGGAATTATGGGAGTTGAAGTCCAAAACACCTGGAGGGCTGAAGTTTGCCCATGCCTGGTCTAGATATAACAATATGTGTCAGCTCTTGAACAGACCATAATTACAACTATCATAAAGTCAAATTACTTAACACACTTCCAAAAGACAGGATTAAAAAAATTATAATAGGTGGGATTCCAACCTGTTTCATTAGATACCAGGTTGCATTTCCATTGAGATTTCCCCAAGCTACATTTAGCACACATCTAGTAACAAGCATCTGGGACTGTATTTTTATACTTATGAATGATGATGTTTATGTCTCAGGGTGAACTGAATTAGATCAGGACATTTTAAACTGACAAAAATTGTAGTTATAAATAATTGTCCTAAATCCAATTGCTAGGGTTTTTAAAAAATGCATTGCTTAAACAAGAGAACATGCTAATTAGTTAATATAATGATAACATTCATTAATATAATGATATTGCACTATCTAGCAGCATAATCCAAAAACCGTAATCGACAGGGTACACACTTGTGAAATAAAACTGTTTAGCTTTCTCTGTTTGCACACTTAAGAGCAATTGCTTAAATTTTTATTCGTTAAAACATATTATTCTCCTCTTCCACCCCTGCCCTTCTAATTCACTTTCTTCAAGTTTCCTAACTTTGACATCTTTTTGCACTCAACTGTCTGATGGCACAATATTCTCTACTGATCCTGTCCAAAGTCCCCCTCTCAATATACACCTTTTCATACACAAATCCGTACTATCTCCCAGTTTCTTCACACTATCCTGCAACACCTGGAATACATCTGCTCAATGCATGAACATATTTATTGCTTCACAAAACCTGCATTACATCACAATTTTATGCATATCACAGCCGTGTTTTGTTCTAAAAGCTGATACTGATATTTCCTACCTACTGGCCTTGCTTCCCAGGAAAAAATTACCAAGATAGTCAAGGTATTTTTTCTGTGATCATTCACAAGAGAAGATTCGACATACACGAAAAAGGACAAGGCGTCCCAGATTTTGACTGTGCCATTTGTATTAAGAGACCTGGGCAGAACACTACATCATTTATCAAGTGATATATTGTCATAGGTTTGAGCATCTTGGGGGGCATCAGGAATAGTACTTTATGTTATCTGAAAACAATCAGGTTGAATAACTTCTCAGCCCATGCTAACAACTAAAGTAGCTGCATTATGCTCCAGGTCAGAGCCACCCTCAAGATTGGTGTTCTATACTTTGAAACCTTCTTCACTCCTTCACATTAAAAGAGTCTCTCCTAGGCCATTTTCATGCTATCTTCACAGGTTCTCTGTGGTCATGTTATTTTTAGAGATCCATTCCGGGCAAAGCCCTAAAGTCTTTCACTGCTGACATTGAAACAATGAAGGCTGCCCTGGAAAAGGTAATATGTGTGTGGGGCGGAGGGGATACATTAAGCTACACATGATAAACAACTACGGGTTCCCTACTGAAGAAAGTACTGGTTTCAGTAATGACTCACCCAAGGACAAAACGCTTGTACCGCAAAATAACAGTAATAAGGAAGAAGTAGACAAACATGGTAAATATTTCTGCCCCGTTTTATAGTTTGAGGCTGTGTTTATCCTGAACAGAAATGCTGTGCTGGCAAGAAATAAGGACTGAATTATTGATTGTTTCTCTGCTCCAACTACAGAGCTACCCCAAGCTTCAAAATGGCACATGGTCCTGCATGTGTGCCCAAAAAGGAAAAACAGTTCTGGCAGGCTGTAGGACTGGGACTGATGTCAGAACCAGGAAAGCCAAAGCACCTCATTAAGTCAAAGGAAAGACTAAATCCGCAGGCCATAGTTCCCACGTACTTCTCATTTTACACACAGCCACTTGAATCATCCAGACAAAACATTTACTCTAAGTACAATGATTGTAAAGGAACCAGTAATTTGGTGGAGCCTGGAAAATGTAAAACGTTTTTCTGTCCTAATATAATCTGGAAGGTCTTGAGCATTGGTTTCGGATCAGTTCCTTCCCCACAACTCCCCTTACCCCAGGGAAAGTATTATCTGATTGAAACTTTGAAGCACATTTTTGTATGCATCAGAAGTATTTCAATATATTATTTAGATATGCAGAGAAGAGCAACTCATTTTCTCCCCACAATGTGCTATGGTAAGCACTGCTGAACAGTTAGAAAAAAAAATGACTCATCGTGCTAAAAATGTCCATAATTCAATGTCCACTGGAGCCTCATGTAGAATGTAATATTTCTATCTTACAGTATTCTGTCATTTTCTTTAGTCAAAAGTACTTGGATTCTTACAGTTCAAGCTACAGCTTATGAACATACAGCTATCCCAGAAGTATCACCCTGCCCGGACAGGAATCATGGACCCATCCAACAAACAACAATCAATGAGATGAGCAGGAAAGCAAGATGCCAGAAGATGGTATTTAAATACTTGTGATGACGCTACGTTCCACTTTTTCAAACTTTGAGTCCTAGCCTACTGCATCTGCGCATGGTTTGGTAACTGCAGATTGGCAGATAGGAAGGCACTCCAAAGGGTCACCACCTCTGCACAGAGAATTATTGGTTGCCCTTTCCCCTCTTTCGAAGAACTTTATAAGCCTTGTAGTCTTAAGAAAGCTCAGAGCATTCTTGGGGATCTATCTCACCCAGCATATTCTTTTTTTATTATTATTACCAGCTGCAAGACGACAAAGGGAAGGACCAACAGACTGGAAGACATCTTTTATCCTAGAGCTGTGGCTATGTTGAACTCCATGGATTTGCATTGATGTGGCATTGGGGGCTGTGCAGTGGTGGTGGGAGTGTGGAGGGGTGGATGTGTTGTTTTGTGGTGTGTACTAGAGAAAGCATTTAATTTCACTGTACAACGTACAATGACAATAGTTATTCTATTCTATTCTATTAATGTTAGTGCACCCCCAAAAAATCCAGCTCTAATATGTTCCATACATTTAAAAAGTTTCAAAAAGTTAGTGGTATATAATTTTAAAAGCAATACAATTATATGTAATGAATATACAATGAATATGCAAAAAACAATTATCCCAAAATTCTGTGAACTTTGTAAAACAAAGTCCACCAATATTCTTGATTTCAGAATGGTTTTTTTAATCATGAGAATACACATCTAATTATGATATAATTTCTAATTTGCACCAAGAACCTTGGATGAAGAGCTTTCTCAGAATTATTTTGGCAATTCAAATAGAAAGCTTCTGTTTCTATTATGCAATTAATAATGCCCTCAGTATTTCATGAAGGCATGTTTCATCACAAACTTCTGTTTGTAACTGTGCTTTCTACTTGTTTTGTTTAGACTGAGCTCCTCCTAATGTTTTGGACTTCACCTCACACAATTCCTAACAGCTGGTAAGGACTTCTGGGAGCTAGAGTCCAAAACACCTGGAGGAGATCGGTTTGAGAAACACTACTTTAGACAATAATCGTAAATTTCTGAAGGAAGTTTAAAACAGGAATGGTTAAAAGGCCTTGTCAATTGAAACCTCCCCCCAACTGAATGATGGGGAAAGGGCAAGCCAAAACTTAAGAACCTGGATTATTAAATGATAAATTCTTCACAAAGAAACATTAAATAACATCAACTTACAGTGACATGCTGTCAGCATCTACACTCATATTTGAATACAAGAAAAATAAATAGTAACCCTAAGTTAAAAAGAATAAAGTGTCTACCCAGGCAATTGCTATTTGTCAAATGAATGCTTCTGAAGAACATACACATTGTTTTATTTTTTGTTTGATTATAGAGTGAGAAAGGCCTATAACCCCCAAAAAGTCATCACTGAGACATACAAGTCACAGGGTAGTGCCTTTGGGTTCTCTACGTCTGGGTCCTTTAGAAGGATGTAATGCTTTGCATATGCATATGGAATAGACTATAAAAATAAAATAAAAACATAAACAGACATGTTGCTCCTTCAAAAATATTATTATCATACCCCAAACATCTGCCGGAGGTCAGGATCCCGAAAGCGGAAGGGTATGTTGGAGACATGCAGCCGCTTTGGAGTAGATTTGCTCTCTGTATTCTCACTGCTTTGTGTCTGTGACTGCTGGCCGTCTGTCTGTGCTCCTCCTTCTGTCTGCTGCAATGAGATTTTTAAAAAGCAAAGAATAAATCATTAAAAAATCCAGCCAAGATTCATCTGTGTCTCAGGTTTTATGCCACCCGTACTGATTTCACATCTAATAATCTTAGAATAAGAGTGGATAGAAACAAGCAAAGTAAAACAACAAAGAATCCTTTGTTTCTGGAAAAAATATAGGAGGAGGAGTAAAAGGATCTTGATAAAACAGGTTTAAATACACCAATGTAATTTTGGTGCAGATTCAAATGGACCCAAATACAATGCAAAGAACGGTGCCAACACATTTACTGCAGGATTTATGTTTTTACTTTTAACTTCTATTTTTCTAGAGGTACCACATTTCAGTTGTACCATCTTAGACTTATTATTCTAATGGCATACCAACTTAAACGTGTGCCAACAATAAATGTTAAGACATATAATAGCAGCAACGAACTACACTCAGCATTGCTATTTGTCAAATGAAATGAAGCAAGAAGTGAAGGTACCATCACCAGGGGCTTTGTGGGAAGGGGCAGCGTTTGTTTCTTCTGTTGCCTCTGGCTCAGCCCTGTGGACTCACTCCTGGCAGAACCGAGGCCCTGACTCTGCAGCTCAAGGCCAGCAACAACACCTGCTTGCCCCAGAGGCTGAGGCTGCAGGGGAAGGATTGCCCGGGTCCGGGAGGGAGCGCTGCTGCGTTGCTGCTCCAGCTGCCTGGTCCCTTGGGTTTTCGGTCCTCCATCACCCCGGCCGCCTGCTGCTTTGGCGAAGCTTGGTGCTGACAAAGTTGTGGACTCCGTTACGGCGTTCCGGTGACTTTCGTCTGGATTGCTGTGTGGCGGCCAACGGCGCCATTTTGGGATTTGGCTCTCGGCCAGCTTTCCAACGCTCTGGCCGCATCATCCTCCAACGCGCTGCTGCCTACTTGAGGCTCGGTTTGTTCTTCCAGGGCCTAGTCAGCCTTCCAACGCCTGAGCATATGCTCTTTAGCAGGTCCTGGAAGCGACTTACTCCCGTTGGACAATCAGACAATAGAACTAGCTGCTGGCAACGACCATCTTGCTACCATCTTAGAGTAGTGTTTAACTTGCCGCTATCACATGAAAATTCCACCATTCTATCTGTATTAACTCCGGAAAAACTGTGCTGACCATCCTTGGGCCTGATTACTGTGGCATCTCGTTGTGCTCAATTTTAGACAGAATTTTAGATAGTTTGTGTTGTCCATTGCCAAATTCATCTGTGTTGACCGCCTTTGATTGTGTGGACCATCTTTTTGCTTGTGCTAATTATCTTTGCGACCAGCTTGTGCTGACCTCCTCTGACGTTGTTAACCATCGCTGATAGTGCTGACGACCCTCATTGTATTAATAACAATAACTATTTCAGTGTTTGAACGGAGATTCTAAGAACTAATAGTTGTACTGCTAATAAGCAAA